TATTGTAAAGTGCAAGATGACGATGATTTCACAGAAGCTGTGGTAGTGATTAGAAAGCCTGGTATGTACAAATATCTTAATTGATGTTAATTGTAAATTATAGTAAACATATTATGATGAACACTGTGATTTGATGTATTTAAATTTCAGTCAGTGGCAAATTTTTCAACATTTTGAATAATGTTTTCAGGAAGTGATGTTACGATTGAACACAATTACTGCAAAGAGCAAAATGATTGTTCCAAATCATCGGTAGAGATTGGATCATCAGGTGTGTACTAATATTCATGTAGTACTAGTTACTAAGTAGCAAAAAAAGCTTTCTAACTATTTCATAAATTTACTAACCGTTCATTTTCTAATAATGTGTTTGCCTTATCATACTGACATCTATAAAAATGCAAAATTGTAACAAATTTCAGATGTTGGAAATTCTCATGAACAGCCTTCATGTTCAAATTTTTCAACTGTTGCAACAGTTGTAGAAAATAAAGGTATGTGAAATTGTATTGGACATAATTTTTTATACATTTATGTAGGGATCAAATCAAAAGAAGTACTTATATGTTGGGTAATAGAAAAAATACTTTAAATGCTTATAAACAGGCTGTGGACTGAAGGTGTCACTGCATACCTAGAACTGCATCAGTTCTAGAGGATAGTTATGTGTATTTGATACTAGACACTAGGATAATATTGCATGCCTTAAGTGCAAAGCACGTAGGTATGTTCTACTAGCGCCTAAAAATCAAGATTTCAACGTTTTGTCGCATGAAATCGTATCTAACAATTATATTTGTTTATTTTTCAGATACATTCCTGGAGCAACCTCCAAGTGCAAGTACCAAAGGCATGGAGATAGATGTTCTCGAAGAACTCGTAGGTTTGTCTGCTTATACTAAACTAACTTTTATTAACAGTAGCTAGATTTAATGTAGACATACAATACAGAGAAGCATACATTGTAAATTTGTTATTTAATATTGAGTTTATGTTTAAGACCATAACATTCATAACTATTGCTTCTTTTCAGGAATTGATTCTAATGTTAATGTGGTGAATCAAATGTTGCCAAAAGGTAGCACATGTACAAAAAAGCAAAAAGGTATTATAAATTCAGTTTATTCTTAGACATAATTAGAAAAAGTTTCAATATCTACCTCAAATCACAATAAGAGTTCTTTGTTCTTCATCTAATCCCAAAATTACAGTTCCACTACACTTCAATGGTTTTATCAACAACTCCTTTACTGTTAAGGTTATATTTCTCTGGAAGTCTTCCCCTGATGACATCCACACTATTTGTTATCTTTTCAAAGTGAATACATTAAAAGTTTAAAATAACAATATATAAATAATAAATTAATATTTTTAAGTGTATCATTCAGTCATAAAATATGAATATAAAACTTAATTATTTTATTTATTTCACTTCAGGTTCGGTGAAGAAAATAGTATCAAGGAAAAGAAAATTGGTTAAAATTTTGACTAATATTGCAACTGAAACTTTAAGTGACTCAGTATCACAAAGACTTGATCAAGCCCAATCCCTATCAAGAAATAAAGACCTTTTGGAAAACTTTTATTTGTTAAACAAACAAGCGCAGACTTTCTTGTTTATGCAATTAAAACAAATTCATAAAAGCAAAATGGCCAGAAGGTTTACCTTAGATGAAAAATTAATGGCGTTGCTCATAATGAAACAAAGCCCCAAAAGTTATAAACTATTAGAAAAAATGTTTGCCTTGCCTAGTAAACGGACATTAAATAGACTTTCTGAGAAGGTTTCAATACAACCAGGACTCAATCCATTAATATTTGAACATATATCAAATACAACCAAAAAATGGGACACTAAACAAAAGCTATGTACAATCGTTTTTGACGAAGTCTCTCTAACACCACATTTAACTTTTAATGAAAAAGATGATATAATTAATGGGTTTGTAGATATAGCTGGAGAGAGAAAACTGAAATATTGTGATCATGCTTTAGTTTTTATGCTAAGAGGAATATGCTCTCCATGGAGACAGAGTGTAGCATTTTATTTCTGTGAAGGCACAGTATCAGCAGCAGAGCTGCAATGCATTTTAAAACAGATTGTGCCCCAAGTGATACGAACTGGGTTAATACCTTTAGGTCTTGTTTGTGACCAAGGGTCCACATTTCGAACAGCAATAAGAAGACTTAGGGAAGATACAATTCGTAGGCGGAATATTCAAGGTGTTCATGATGGTGTGTACCATTATTAATTACTTAAAAACTAGTTCTACTTCATGACAAATATTATATATTTTAATTATTTTACAGATGGATCGGTTAATATTGCTGATCACGATTTAAGCATATTTTTTGACCCACCTCATCTCTTAAAGGGTTTAAGGAATAATTTTTTAAATAAAGATATAATTTGGGAAGAAAAAACTGCCTCTTGGAAAGATATTGAGTTCATTTTTGATTTGGATAGCAAATTGGGGCACACAAGGGCACTACCAAAGTTAACGGCTCATCATGTTGATCGCCAAAAGATCAAAAAAATGAAGGTCAGCGTAGCTGCTCAAGTATTTAGTGCTCGAACTGCTGCTATGCTCAAATATACAAATGCACTCAGTAAGTAACGATTGCTATATTGATTTGTAGGCTTATTCAATTTATGTATATACTATTGTAAAATTTGACCAGAAGTCTCAATTTGTAAAAAAATCAATTTGTAAAAAAATGGTTAAAAAAGTCTGTTGTTGTAACCAAATAAGAAGTGTCTTTTTGGCGAAAGATTTGCAGGTACAACTGTAAAAGAAATTAAATTAAAAAGTACTTTTTTCTTTTCAGATTATTTTCATACTGCAAACTCTGACGCAACAATGGCCACAACAGCAGAAGTTGTTGAATTCTTCGACACACTGTTTGACAGCGTCAATGGCTACCCGGGTGGTGTGCAAAGAGGAAAGTTAAGACGAGCGGTTAAACAAAATTCACAACATCACACTTTTTGGATTGAGGCCATTAATAAAATTAAAAAAATGGTTTTTGTAGACACCAGTAGCAAACATGCTACAAAAGCAGGAAAACCTCGACTTGTGCGAGTGCCATCCCAACAAGGATGGATTACAACTCTTGAAAGTTTTATAAGGGTCTCCAAATTGTTATTTGAACAGTATAATGTAGAATATTATTATCCGAGGAATATTAATCAAGACCCATTAGAAAATTTTTTTGGCCGTATAAGAGCTATAAATTATAGAAATGTTAACCCAGATGCAAACACATTTATATATGCCTTTAAATCTTTGATGTTATCTAACATGCTTAGTCCACATTCCAAATTCTCTAACTGTGAAGAGGATAATGGAGAAACATTATTAAATGTTAGTCTTCTTTTTAAAAACCTTCATAATAATAAAGAAAATGACTCGGAAAACACTGTCAGTATTTCGCGAGATCTCCCATCTTCTTCACAAGCAAGTTCAAGAGAAAAGTTGCTGGTGAATGATGTAGTCATGGAAAAAATCAAAGTCCACTGCTCAGCTTACACTGCTGGATACATTTGTCGGAAAATAACGAGAGCGATTCGTTGTAAGGATTGCATCAAAACATATATTAGCAGTACGGAGACAAACATTCACTCTTACATTAAATTTAGAGAGTATAAATTGTTAAAAAATAATAATTTGGCATACCCTAACGAAAAATTCCTTATCTTGTACAGGGATGGTACTCACTTTATTCATAACTATTTGAATTATAGCTGTATTGGAAGTAATATAAAAAGTAATTTGAAAAGAAAAATATTGAGCACTTTGAGTTTTTCCTGCCTAGGGTGTGATAAGCATGCCTTAATTGTAAAAAACTTTTTCACCAATATTTTAATTAGATTACATGGACACAATTGGTGCAACATAAACAATAAAATATTGAAAGGTGATATTGATGAAAAATATGTATCTAAAATGGGTGAACCCCAAAAATTGGCCTTAAAGAAGTATAAAAGTCTTAGGTTAAGAAAAAAATGTTTAAGTAAATAAAATGTTGGTGAAGTGACGACCTGGATATGCAGGTGGCTTAGGACCGTGCTTTGTGACATTTCTTGGGGGAGGCCTACGTTTAGCAGTGGACTTGTGAAGCGCTGTAATGATGACGGTGGTTAAATAGAATGTTCGGATTCCTGAAACGTAAACTCTGTTTCAGGTCCCCGCAAACCAAGTATATAACGAGGCGATATTGCGAATAGCTATGTTGTGTGTGCCGGACAGGTACGTGTGGTGCCGGAAGCGGCCTCCACCATTCGAGACACCGCGCGCACGTACCTTCCAAACGAGGCCCACTGACCCGAGTGCTGCACACTAAATAAAGTAGCTCAGGATGTAGATTTATTCTGCTGTTCCTTGGGTGAATTTACCTAAGTGACATTATATTATGTATTATGTTATAATAGTAGATAAGTTGTGTTCTGTCCTTATTAAATTAGATAGTTTTATATGCCTACACTGTCGTATTAGGTACGCCTGTAAAGACAGAGGTAGAAATAAATAAATAAAGTTACTCCCTAAAAATCTCTGGTCTGTAGCAACCTAGAATATGCTTCTATAGCGCGGAGTCGATTTTATGCTACATTACGCTATTAGCATCTTGAGCATACTTGTTATTTTTAATGTTGATGTCGATATTTGTTTATTTTTCAGATGCTTATCACGGAACAACCTCCAAGTGAAAGTACCAACACCAAGGAGATAAATGTTCTTTTTAAAAGTAATTTATGTTACCATATAACTTAGTTATATGATAATATAGATTACTTTTTAATTACGATTATACTAAACTGTCGTTAACAGTAGCCATACAGAGTTAATACATACAATATAGATGTATACATTATATATTTATTCTTTAATTTTGGGTTTATGTATAAGAGCATAAAATTCACAAATATTGTTTGTTTTCAGGAATAGAAATCTGATGTGAAAAGCTGATGTGGTGAGACAAATGTTGCCAGAAGATACAAAATGTACACATTGGCAAAATGGTATGATAAATTCAGTTTATTCTTATACATAATTAGGCAAAATTTCAACATATCTATTATATCTATATTCAGCATATCTATCCTCAAATCACAATAAGAATTCTTTATTCTTCATCTAATCTAAAGATTACAGTTCCACTACACTTCAATGGTTTTATCAACAACTCCTTTAGTATTAAGTTTACACTAATTTGGAACTCTGTGCCTGAAGACATTGAGAAAGCTCCTGATAATGGATGTATACAATGTAAATATTTATATATTTTTTATTTCTTATTTACTGCATCTATCACTTTATTTTCACCACACCATGGCTGACCGAAAGAAAATGCCAACTGCCATGAAGCCCTATTTTACCTTAATATGAATAATATATGATTTATGATTATCATTCAGTCATAAAATATGAATATTGGACTTTATTTTTATTTATTTCTTTTCAGGTTACGTGGTGAAGAAAATGAAATAAAAGAAGAGATGTTAAAATTTAAAAAAAAGGTTGTAACTTGTGTGCAAAAAAAAGGGTGAACAATCCTCACAAAGACTTGCTTAATGTCCAATCTATTTTAAAACTGTAGAGAACTATTTGAAAACCTTTATTTTATGTTAAACAAATAACTTTCTTATTAATACAATTAAAATAATTTTGTAAAAAAAATGGCCAGGCCAAAAAAGTAACTTGAAAAGTAAAATATTAAGCACTTAAATATGATTCATGTGGTTTAATTTGCTTTATTTAATGAACTATAAATATTGCTCTGTTTCTCGTCAAATTGTACTTATTTATGCACAATGTTATGTACGATTTTCTAATTTGTTTATATAACTTAATGTGCCTTTAATTTAATCCTAAAATTACGTATGTATATGATGTAGGTGTGCTTGAATAAAAAATAAATGTTAATGTATTATAAGTGTTTCATTAAGTAATATTATTATTCCTGTATAATGCACTTCTGTCGATATCGATAAAATAAGAACACCACTAAACATCGATATCGATGATTTGAAGGATGTGTGCTTGCAATCTCTAAGCTATATTTTTTTTTATTACTCATCTGTCAAAATGGGCGACTGCAGCGCTAAAACGCATAGTTGGGAAACTTGACTAAAAGTAACCAAAAGTAACTGTCGTATCTGTAGCTTGCTACATATATATTTATCTATGATTTAATAACGTCACAAACTATATAGAAACACTAAATAACGTCAATCTTCATGTACTTGCCGCAGAGTTGAGGTCTTTGGCCATTCCTGAAAAAATTGTAAAATGGATATTTAACTTTTTACATGAAAGAAGAGTTTTTGCTAAAGTTAATAATAATAATACAATTATTGGTCCTAGGCTCAGTTATAAAGGTGTTTGTCAAGGAGGAATATTAAGTCCTCTTATCTTTATTTTATACATATTTAAATTAAACAATATTTTAGGATCAAATGTTACTAATTTACAATATGCAGATGATTTGGTCATATACGCCTGAGGAGCAAATGTCAAAAACTTGGTAACCATTTTAAATGAGGCTTTAAAGAAATTGCACATTTACTTTTCATACTTAAATTTAGATATTAGTGCTGAGAAAAGTAAAGTTGTAATATTTAATAAAATTCGTCCATTTTACACTAGAATAATTTATAATAATACATTTTTACCAATAGAAAGTTGTGCAAAATTCTTAGGTGTAATTTTTACAAATAATTTATCTTGGACCAAATACGTGAATTCTATTACAGACAGAGCTTCTAAGGCCTCTAATGTATTAAAAGCTTTGGCTAGTACTAACTGGGGAGCTGATCCAGAAATATTATTAATGTTATATAAGTCCTTGGTGAGGAGCCATTTTGAGTATGGCTTCCTTTGTTTTGCATCAAATAAAAAACTAGTAAACAAATTAGATAATATACAAAATAAGAATTTAAAACTTATTACCGGCTCTATGAGAACAACTCCTATTATTTCTTTACATGCTGAATGTCTTACTCCTCCTATCTTACTTTTTTTTTTATAGGATCGGGTGACAGACGAGCACACAGTCCACCTGATGGTAAGTGGTTACTGTGACCCATAGACATCTACATCTATCCTCAATAAAGACTCAAGATGCAGATGCGTTGTCACCCGTGAGGACTAAGATGGAATGCCTCATTTCCAGTAAAAAGGGTCTCCGGTTCTCTACACTCACCATACGAAACACAGCAGCGTTAAGCTGCTATTTTACGCTGGTTTTCTGTGAGAGCGTGGTCCTTCCCCGGTCGAGCCGACCCATTCGTGCTACAACCATAATATAGCTGCAGCATGGCTCTACCACGTACAAAAAATTAGGTTTAAATATCTGAAATTTAGGTTTTCATTAAATATCAATTCTTTCTCACATCATCCTCTTTTTCAAAAAGTATTATTTTACTATAATAGTATGTCTCCTATATCTAACTCAGCCCCACATATACTCCATGACTTTCATGAAGTGATACGTTATGATGGACAATATAATATTCACAAAAGCACACATACTTGGCCTTGTTATAAGGGGAATTATGAAAGTAAATTCAGTGATATACACATAAATATTGATAAAAAATTGAAAAGAAAAGAAGAGGTTTATGAACTTATATCTACATATGATGAATATCGACAAATTTACACAGATGGTTCAAAAGTTTAAAATAAAGTAGCCTGTGCATTTTACATACCTCATCTGAAAACTGAACGTGGCCCTTCCATTCCTGCATCAGCAATCATATACACTGCAGAATGTTATGCTGTCTTAATCGCTCTTAAATATATAGAAGAACACCCACATGTATCTAATAAATGGTTACTGATCTCTGATAGCATGAGTGTCTTGAAGGCACTGAAGGCTTTAGATGCTAAAACGTCTTTCACCATATATGAAATCAAAAGTTTGTGGTGGAAATTGAAAGAAAATAATTTGGAAGTAAAATTTTTATGGACTCCGTCACATATTGGGGTTCAAGGAAATGAAAGAGCAGACCATTTAGCTAAAAGTATAGTTACAGCTGATATTGAAAGGATAACCGATGTTGCAATACCATATACAGATTTATATTCAATTTTAGAGAAACAGTTAAAAGAAGAATGGAAAGTGCAATGGAATGCTATTTTAGAGGCAGGAAAAGGTCGTTGGTATGCATCAATTAATTCAGAATTAAGTATTCCTTGGTTTTCTCGCAACGAGAGATATCATAGCAGAAAATTTTATACAATAATGTGCAGACTTAGATTTGGCCACTATCGACTGAACGCTCATCTTTCCAGGATGAGAATAGTAGCATCTGCAACATGCAATTTCTGCGATACAGAAGCAAATCAGACTGCAGAACATATAATATTTAACTGCCTAGCGTACGCCATTGAAAGATTGCTACTCATTGAAAAACTTATACAAGTTTATGAAAACTCAGAAAGCATCCCGCGTGCCCTGTAAGATGTTCTTAGGAATACTAAGACATATTTAGCACTTTGCAATTTTATTCATAATACTGTAAAAGAAATATGAAATATGGTATCCCTGTTTTGAAAATATTGGATTGACAAATCTACACGGATTGAAATCTACAAAGAATATAATATAAAGAAGACTTGGCTTTAGCCTATACGGGTTTTTGAAAATATGAAGAATTAAAGAAAATAAGACTTGACTTCGGCCTTTATGGATTTTGAAGAGATGGAAAGAAAAAAAAATAAGACTTGGTTCCGGCCTTTACACTTTAAAATTTTATATATTCAAAATAAAAAAGACAAGGCTGTATGGCTTAGTTCCTTTGCCTGCTCTCTCAAGCAAATAATAAAAACAATAACAACAACATAGAGTAGAATGGTCAAATGTCAACTCAATTGTCAATGAAGTTTAGTTGTCAACGCGGTTCATTTAATTTGTAATACGAATTTTATCGATTTTTTCAAATGTTAAAATGTTTCAAACGGCGTGCACGGATAAGAATTTGAAATATACTTGTGCCTGACTAGATTTTAGAACAGTATTATTTTTATGTAAGTGTAATTGTCCTTGTTATTAGACACTTGTATTTTAACCTTGAAACTTATTCATGTGATCATTTTTTATTTTAGTAGAGGTTAGCAATACATTTGTTTTCCTCAATAATTACGAGTACATTTAATTCGTAATATGACACAGCATATTTACAAAAGAACATGAATATATTAAGGTTATGCTGTTATGTCATTTCAAATTTTGTTATGAAATCCTCAAAGACTTAGATATTTTAGTTTTATTTTTAAAAAGAGTAACACTGTAAATTTTATTTTAAAATAAAGATTTTTTTAATATCTCGAAAGGTTAGGTAACTGATGTAAGTAGCTGGATATATAAAATTAAATTTTGAGTAGATAAAATTATCTGATGATAATAATAGATTATATCTATTTGACAGCTAGTTCAGTGGTGAGCAAGATTGGCTACGGTTTTGCACGCATGGCGGTTTAGGCATAATAAAGGAATAATATAAATATGATATATTATTAATTCTACATAAATTAATATTTCTTTAATTTACTTTCCAGTTTTCATCATGGTTTAATAAAATAAAGTCAAAAATGCTCAATACGAATTTGATAGGTCTCAAAATAACAAATTTGAAATCCTTTCTACGATTAACAAATACAAATGTAAGCCTCAAGAAAACACTTTATCTATCCACTGGCAAAACTGCACATCCATGTTTATGTGGACAAGTATACTTTAAGAAGGAACAGAGACGAGGTGATAGAGTATTTTATAAAAATGATCGATTTCACACAACACACAGTGACCAGCATAGGCAAAAGGTGGTAATAGAGACGTCCACACCAAAAATTATCATAGATGAAATAGAAAGGAGGAAAAAGGTGTTACCAGTGGAAAAAAGTATTGATGTCAGATTAGGTGATCTGTGGAAGAACAAAATAGATCCATATGTTAAGTTAGCAAGATGGGACAGACCTGTTGGTAAGTCTTAATTTATTCTCGTTGTGTGAATATGCCATTGTTAGACCTCTCTCAAGCTTTTACCATGCTGTATTTGCATACTATGGCAGTCCCTTTTCCCTCTTTCCTTACCAGTAACCTACAAGTATTTATATGGCCTGCAAATAATTGTTCCGTGTCTGGATGTTTCTCCTTGTGCAAGTTATTATTATTATGTGGTAACAGGCAGGCTGCTTATAGCCATGGTAGCTCAGATGGTTAGTGCTTGCTGTAAGCTTCACAGTACTCGAACAACCCGGGTACGATCCCCACCGGTACCAACGAAATTGTTAATTGCAATTTTAAGTGCCTATTTACCACATGCTCGACTGTGAAGGAAAACATCGTGAGGAAACCTGCATGTCTGAGAAATAAGAAAAAAATATTTCGAAGACATGTGAAGTTCGCCAATATGCATTGGGGCACCGCGGTGGACATTTCCTTGCCCTATAACCCTCTTAGAAATGAGAGGAGGCCTGTGCCCAGCAGTGGGATGTAAATAGGCTGCAACTTTACTTTACTTTTTATAGCTGATATGCCTATATCTGTGTTGGTGTTTTATATTAGTCTAAGTTCACACTAAGAATACACTAAATTGGATTGTCTTTACACCATTTGTCCAGTTTGTTTTAAAACTAATGACAGAGGGGCCATCTACCACGTCTTGAGGCAACTTGTTCCATATATTTATGATTCTGTTGTTTAGTGTGTGATGTCCCACATTACTGTATGAGCAGGTGTGGGCCAATCTCATATAGTTAGGATCTCTAAGTCGGTGGATACTGCTGATGTTAAAAATATGTGGCAGCTCTTTGCAATTATATTTATGTGTCAATATTTTGTAGGTCTCAATTAGATTCAATATTTTTAATCTCTCTTTGTATGGCTTTTTGTGAAGCATAATGGAATCTTTGTGGCTTTTTTTGTACACTCTCCAGCAAATTACAACCTTAGGAAAATAGGGGTTCCAAATTTGAAATTCATACTCTATCAGTGGGCGGACGTATGTTATGTTTGTAAACTGACTCCACGATACCTAATGTTTTTAAAAAAAAATATAATTCCGTGAACGGCAGGGTCGGGAAGGGATGCCCTAGACGAAGGTTTATCGACCAAATCGGCGATACATTAAAAATGGGCCAGATTAGGAGTACCCTTAACCGACGAGCGTGTATGCGTAGATATATGGATGTAAAAGAGGCGAGAGAGGTGTGTCAGGATCGCGCCAAATGGAAGTCCGTAGTCTCTGCCTACCCCTCTGGGTGACATGCGTGAGTGTTTATGTATATGTAATTCCATCTTTGTTCTTTAGGGTGATAACACATCTTTAGCATTCTTTGCTTGAAGTAGGTTCCAGGTGTCTATAGACTTCATTAGACACTTACCATGATGTGGAATGTAAGTTTGTATCTTCAATTAAAAAAAATAACATTACTTTAATATTTACTACATTAATTATTCCTGTTAACCAATCCAAGTCAGCTTAAAATTCTTATGTTAGTGGTAGTTCACAAGTGTACTCCTGTTGGATTCTTCAAACTCAAGACTCATCATAATTTATCACATGGGCCTTACCGCAAATGGGAAGACTGGACATAATTGCTTTTAGCTTTGTCAGATCATTACACTAACCCCATATATCATCCCATATAGAAGATAATATACCAGGAGCACATGACCCACTGAGAGGTGAAATTACTAAATTAACAGTAACATTACAACTATGGCAAATATCACCCCTATGAGGCAATCTATGGAGGAGGCCTATGTTCAGCAGTGGACTTTAATAGGCTGTAATAGTATAACGGTTGTTAGATTTTAGGATCCATTTGCTGTTAATGCTGCTGATGCTGACCTGTGCAATGTTTTGCTCCATCTAAGTAGATTGTGGTCCATATTATGTTGGACTAACCTGAGACATTATTCAGGATGTTATGTCTAATTTCTCACACATGCAAGTTTCCTCACTATGTTTTCCATCACTGTTGAGCGCTTTGTCAAAATCAGCACTTGTTGATGTTATGTCTACTACACTTAAAACAAATTTAAAGTTTCAATTAGCAATTTCATCTTCTTTTGTTTTTCGCTTCTAGGCGTCTACCTTCTTTACTGGCCATGTTCATGGTCTATAGCCCTGGCCTCTATACCAGGAACTGTGCCATTATACACCACATTGGAAACAGCTGGACTGTTTCTCTTGGGAGCTGGTCTCATGAGGGGTGCCGGCTGCACTATCAATGATATGTGGGATAAGGATGTCGATGCTCAGGTAAAATATTAATTCTTGTTGAAATGAATTCTTTAGAATCGTTGTGATTTGAAACTCGATGAAATAAAAAATAGATAATTTTTTTTTAATAGGATTAGAGTGACAAAGGAGCACACAGTCCACCTGATGGTAAGTGGTTGCTGTGGCCTATAGACATCTATAGCTATCTTCGAATACAAATCAAAATGCAGATGCATTGTCACTCATGAGGACTAAGATAGAATGCCTCCTTTCCTGTAGTGAGGGTCTCCGGTTCTCTACACTCACCATACAAAGCGCAGCAGCGTTAAGTCGCTATTTTAGACTGGTATTCTGTGAGAGTGTGGTCCTTCCCCTGTAGAGCCGACCTATTCGTGCTGCAACTGTTCTAATATAGCTCGGAATGACTACCACATCTAAAATATATATATATCTATAGCATATAGCCTGTGAGGGAATGAGATAGATTACAATATATAGTTTCCTATTATCTAGGGCTCCTCTTTGTGCGGTGCTGTATAGATGATTAATAAAATTCACAAATTTATTAAATAAATGAAATTAACCATATTGAATAAAATTATCTTAACCAATCCAATCATAACAATCTATAATTTCATAACTTACCGATTCATATGATTTAGTTGTGTTCAGGTCATCTAGATTCTACATACCTTATTGAGAGGCTAATCAATTTTTGTTCGAAAAAATGATTTTACCTATAGAATGAAGTGGATTTTACGCTATTAGCTTAACACTGCTGTGTTTCGTATGGTGAGTGTAGAGATCCGGACACCCTTTTTACTGGGTCGTCCTCACAGGTGACAACGCATCTGCAGTTTGATTCTTTTATTGAGGATAGATGGAGATGTCTATGGGTCACAGCAACCACTTACCATCAGGTGGGCTGTGTGCTCGTTTGTCACCATATCCTATAAAAAAAATATATTACAGAGCAATTTTTGCTTGCAATTTTCTGAAGGTTTCTTTTTTACCGCGTGTGAACTGCACACATGTTTTTTCTTTTTCATCAGCCTGCAAAGGTTCACTGCTGGATATGGGCCTCTTCCGTCTGAGGAGTATATATTATTAATTTTATTTAACAACTAGCGATCCACCTCGGCTTCGTAAGGGTGACTTCTAAATCTCGACAACAACGTCACTTGCCGAGCCTATTGTGAATCTTATTTATTTATTTAACAAGTACACTTACAATATACATATATATGATATTGTCACAAAAACTTACACACTTTTATATTTTCTGATATGCATATCAATTACAAGTGTACATAACATTTACAGATTGAGTCATGCAACTTAATTTAGAATTAATTTGAGGTAGGAAAAACATACACTCAATGCAATAAAATGAGAAATAATTTAAGTAAATTATGTGACTAAATGGATAAAAAAATCAAATGAAAAAAAAAGAAACCATGTTCAATTATTGGGAAAGAAAATGGTAGATATTGTACTCTCTTTAGAAGTATGTACATTTTTAATTTAAGTATAAAATAGATTCTATTTAAAATATAATTTTTAACAAGAACTAATTAACTAGGCGATAAATGCCTAGTAAGTTTAATTTTGAAGGTCTTAAAAGAGTCGTGAAATATATCGATGCTATGGTTTTACTTATTTCGTTATATTTGCCACATATACGAACAATAGGAGCATGATTCCCGAGATGAGTTTTCGGGAAAGGAATATAAAATGTTTTTAAGATGCGACAACGGGGATATTTACGCGGAACAGCTAACAATATGCGATCAAGAAGGTCACTGCACTTAACTTTATTGTGTACTATTGAATCTAAACAAATTCACAATTAGTATCCGATTAGAAGGAGTTCAATCACATACACGTGGACAGAAAAATTATATATCTTTATACATAAAAATTATGTGCCACATTGTTTGTCCGCGATGAACTCCTAAACTACTGAACTGATTTCAATGAAATTTTGCACACTATGTGCAGTTTAATCCAACTTGAGAGATAGGATAGTTTTTATCCCAATAAATGACACTCAAAATTTTTTATTGCGAATTTAAGAACTTTTATAGGAAGGGTCGTTGGAAAGGGCAGAACAACGTCTGCCTGGCGAGCCAGTATATATATAATTACTAGTTGTTCCCCTTGTGTAATTTTTTTGTGTGAAACCCTAATCCTTTTTTCTAAAATAAAAGTAGCCTAAGTGTACACGCCCCTAGCTGCCCCAACAAAGATTGACGGGACTAGGGCCCATGAGTAATCCCATCGACGGGCAGCAGAGAGACGGGGCCCTACGGCCTATGGAGAGTTGACCTACACGATAGTGATAAGGCTAAGTAAATAAATAGTACGTACCTGGATCCGAAGCTAAGACCGCCCCAAGGCTCGGTCAGGCCGTAGGTAGGTGTAGGTGCATGTAGTAGTGTTTATTTATGTGACCTGACCCAGCTGAGGTGACCGGGCAGCGGCCTGGTCCCATGCTGCCCCACAATGCTGCATCACTCCAGCAGGCGTCACCAAGTGACAACTTCTTTCTTCATGTCACTATTTCAGTCTATCAACTTTATCGTGCATTTAACTATCTTCAACTCAACTAATTCAACGTTCATCGTAAAATCAAACACGTGATACCCGACACAAGTAACGAACAGTAGTTCAAAGTTCAATATTCAATGTTCCGGATTCATTTATCACCAAATTACAAATAGGGAACTAACGCGATCTCTCCACGAGCGTTACAAACAACAAGTAAATTCCTTCGTACGATATTACATACTTCGCCCGCATTAAGAATTCAAAATCCGCCTAGCTGACAGGCAAACTAACTAAAAAAGTCAACACACAAAAGGCTCTTAACGCGACGGTACAATTGCAACGAAATTACTCTAATCACTCAAATTCAATATAAGCCTCTTGTCACGAACGTACAACTTAGACAAACTAATACGAGGTGATCTTCACGAAACCACAAATTCATTAGCGAATTAAACGCGCACAAATACTTAAAACCTAGACCAAAATCAAAACTGGTCGCGCGAACCGCTGCAGCGGTCACTACCAAATCGTTAATCGACCGCGCCGCTGCACTCAAGCCACTGGTCACGCCCACGAGCCCGAACGCCGGGAAGCTGCATACCGCTGCCCCACCTGCCCCCGGCGACCGCACGTCACCTCACACTATCGGGCGATGCACTAAGTCGAACGCGATTGGATGGCGTGTCAAATGCCTATATTTGGCCAAAACAAACCCCCGTCCTGGACATAAGGACTTATGTCCGCGAGTAAACCGGCTAGCGGGACAGGGTCGCGACGGCACGTTGCAAAACCGAATCTACAACCGAATCTAGGCCACCTTAGGCACCCCATCAGATCTTGCAACCTTAACCACCGCCTCAAAAATACCGCCCCAATGTGGTACTGTACGTTAAACATCGATAGTTTGGTAATCCGATAGTATCGATAGTTTTACTAAAAACTATCGATAGTATCGATAGTCTATCGATAGTTTAAAAAATTGTAGGATTAGCGTAACATCAATAAATTAACAAATTTTATACGAAACGTAGAGTTTTATATTGATATATATTCGAAATAACAATCATAAATCAGCATTCATCATTATTATAGTTACAAATCAATAATTAAAATAGCAGCTATTTTGTTTTATAAACAACAACTCGTTTAATCTTTTTTCATTTAACCTATTTCTGCATTCGGTTAAAATTTGTCTGGCCTTCAAAAAAATTCATTCAAAAGGCACAGAAAATGCAGGAATACAGAGATAGAGCATCGCTAATTCCTTCAATTTATTGTTGGTGTATTTCCAGTATATTATAGGACACTCTTTTCTGTCAATTACTTGCTTCTCGAGATATTGCCTGACATATTTAATTCACGTTGAATAGCACGTAATATATCGCTAGCTAGAGTACTCATCTTGAAAAATGTCACAATCGATTTACATTTTTACAGAATCTGCTCTAGTTAGGTCACAGCAAACGAATTAGTCACCGTCAGGTTTAGTGTGTGCGCGAAGCAGGGTATATGCCGTATGTGCAGTTTGGCTGCGGCGTTAATCATTGTTTGAGCGTTATCAGTCGTTATTGCTTCACGTACCTCATTATATTTTCTCTTCATATGATTGATCAAGATCGTAGTATTTTTTTTATAGGATTGGGGTGACAAACGAGCACACAGTCCACCTGATGGTAAGTGGTTACTGTGACCCATAGACATCTACATCTATCCTCCATTACGAATTAAAATGGAGATGCGTTGTCACCCGTGAGGACTAAGGTGGAATGCCTCGTTTCCAGTAAAAAGGGTCTCCGGTTCTCTACACTCAGCATACAAAACACAGCAGTGTTAAGCTGCTATTTTACGCTGGTATTCTGTATTTGTTTAATTTTGTATTATTTTATTGTTTTTTATTTAATTCTGTATGTATTTCCACTTAGTTTAAACTCTCTTTACACAAATAACACTTGGCAAACTTTTCATTCGTCTTTTTGAAGTAATCCCACGCACGTGACTTACTACTCATGTTTAATTGTTTAATTCTAAATTGTTTGTCACTCCACTCAACTTCAAACATTCACAATAAAAAAACTGACTCACTGACTTTTGTCTTGTAAATGAATGATATACGCACGGTAATTCCCCTACCATAGAGAAGAATCTCGATGTCTACGCCTTTGAAGGAATTATATAAGCACGGTAAGTCCCCTACCATAGAGAACAATCTCAATGTCTACGCCTTTGTCACTATGGCCAGGGAATAACCTACATACATGCATACCTCGACTCTAGGGATGTAAAAGTAGTACTCGAGTAAACAATCGATCGATAGTTTTAAAAACTATCGATAGTATCGATAGCCCTTTACTATCGATACCATCGATAGTCTATCGATGTTTAACGTACACTACAATGTGGGCAAGCCGGAGGGTTGAACCTCCACTGGATGCCCTTCCTGGACATCGCAGCACCTAAATAAGTCCTGTTACTGGACAGTAGTCCGACGACCTCTTTCAAACACCTATCTGTGCCCCTAAGATACGTTCCGCAATCCGACCGGATCAGGTCTGCAAACAGCGACGCGATACGAAGCGGCCCAGCATGGCATCAAAGGCTTCAGTGCTAAGGGCACTTACAAGTTTCACATGAACGGCGTCTGTGGAGAGGCAAACGAAACGCACAGATAGTCCATGTACGATTTTTCAAGCAAGTAGGTATAACCAAGCCATCTACCATATAATCATCTACTCAATTGTGCGGCAGCTGATTTCAATCTGATAGTCTCCCAACTAGCTAGCCCTTTTAGACATGTAGTCCTATGCTCATATTTCAACCAAGTTTCAAAAGCATCAATGTTCAACTACTGAATTAATTCAAACAAATTAATTTACCGATGCGCATAGATTAAACAGACAAATTAAACAAAACGATAAACGTAAGAAACAGCCCTATTTCTCTTTCCAAATAAATATCTTCGACAGTGCCAAGAAAAATGTGAAAACAAAGAGAGGAATGATTCTTATTCCTATCGGCACAAATAGGGTTTTTTTTTATAAGATCGAGTGACAAACGAGCACACAGTCCACCTGATGGTAAGTGGTTGCTGTGGCCCATAGACATCTACATTTATCCTCTATAAAGAATCCAAAAGCAGATGCGTTGTCACTCGTGAGGACTACGATGTAATGCCTCTTTTCCAGTAAAAAGGTCTCCTCTCTACACTCACCAAACGAAACACAGCAGCATTAAGCTGCTATTTAACGCTGGTATTCTGCGAGAGCGTGCTCCTTCCCCGGTCGAGCCAACCCATTCATGCTACAACTTATAGCTGCAGCATAGCTCTACCACGTACCAAAACAATTTTCTTTTCAACAAAGCAAACACAATGATCAAATACATTTACAAAAACATATGCACACGCATTCAAAGAGCACATCATTCAATTTCAATTTTCTTTTCAACAAAACAAACACAATGATCAAATACAATTACAAAAACATATGTACAAGTATTCAAAAAGCACATTAAATTCGCCTTCTTAATCACAACCGCCACAAATATGAAACATTTCGCGGAAAACCCAAAAGCATTTTTATTTTTAATTTAAAGCATCGTTAATTAAGTGCTCGACCAAAACCGAATCTAATAGTCCTTGACAACGTGATTCAACGCTCCAGGGGAGCCCTAGTCCTCCCAACAACCAAGTGGAGGCCACACCGTGCTGTGAACCCGAATCCAATAGAGCGCGAATCGTTAAACAATCGACACTCGGGTTGTACACCCTCACTCAGGCCGTCGGCAATAGAACAGTTTGACAAGTGAGCTGTTGACGGCTCAAAGAATTAGTGGAGGCGGTCGTGGTGGGAGCTAGGGCGGCAGCTACCTAGCTGGGTCTGCCTGCATCAAAGGGGGGACGGTGGTACCCCAGTCGCGGCCACTCAGCTGACGGGGGTGATAAGGGTCTAGCTGACCGCTGAGTGGCTGTGAAGTACCTCTCAACACACTGAGGGGGGGGGGGGGGGGTGACGACCCCCCCGCCCCTGGGGGAACGACCCCCCAACTGGTTCGGGGAGGGACCCCTTTCAAACCCAGGGGTACAGTGACCGGCAGGCGAGCGCCGAGTGTCGCCCAAACGCTCAGCCGCGCCCCCGCCCGTGGGAGTCGAGGGCCCGGCAGAGCCCTGAGAGGAAGCGCCGTTCGCACCCAGGCACAAAACGGCATGGTGACTGCCCTGGCAGTGCGATGGCATCACTTCTAAATACAAATTACTACGCGGCTCAAATACAAATCAATTAACAAATAACAAATACAATTCCTATCAAATAAAGTTAAATGCAAATTACACTACAAATAAAGGTACACACCACAGTGGATCAGCAAAAATGCCTCGCTCAGACAACTGACCCTTCGACAATTAATACACCATAACTATACGACAACGATAATTATCCGATTACGTGATAACAACCATCTACCTACCCGACGCGTATCTAGCCCTAACAAACTCCTGCTTGCGCAGCCTAACGGGCTTTTAATTCTACCCGCTACTCTACAAACAAAGGAAACAAGCAACAAAGGAAAATATTTTTATTATTACGTATTACGGCCGGGCGTATTGTAAAAACAATCAACCACGTTCTGCTACCAAAAATGTACACGCCCCTAGTTGCCCCAACAAAGGTTGACGGGACTAGGGCCCATGAGTAATCCCATCGACGGGCAGCAGAGGGACGGGGCCCAAGGGCCTATGGAGAGTTGACCTACACGATAGTGATAAGGCTAGGTAAATACTCTAAATATAATATATAATAATAATATATATAATATAATACGTACCTGGATCCGAAGCTAAGACCGCCCCAAGGCTCGGTCAGGTCGTAGGTAGGTGTAGGTGCATGTAAAGTGGTGTGTAGTAGTGTTTATTTATGTGACCTGACACAGCTGAGGTAACCGGGTAGCGGCCTGGTCCCATGCTGCCCCACAATGCTGCATCACTCCAGCAAGCGTCACCAAGTGACAACTTCTTTCTTCATGTCACTATTTCAGTCTATCAACTTTATTGTACATTTAACTAACTTCAACTCAATTAATTCAACGTTCATCGTAAAATCAAACACGTGATACCCGACACAAGTAACGAACAGTAGTTCAAAGTTCAATATTCAATGTTCCGGATTCATTTATCACCAAATTACAAATAGGGAACTAACGCGATCTCTTCACGAGTCACAAGGTTAAGCGTTACAAACAATAACTAAATTCCTTCGTACGATATTACATACTACGCCCGCATTAAGAATTCAAATTCCGCCTAGCTGACAGGCAAACTAACTAAAAAGGTCAACACACAAAAGGCTCTTAACGCGACGGTACAATTGCAACGAAATTACTCTAATCACTCAAATTCAATATAAGCTTCTTGTCACGAACGTACAACTTAGAATAACTAATACGAGGCGGTCTTCACGAAACCACAAATTCATTAGGGAATTAAACGCGCACAAATACTTAAAACCTAGACCAAAATCAAAACTGGTCGCGCGAACCGCTGAAGCGGTCACTACCAAATCGTTAATCGACCGCGCCGCTGCACTCAAACCACTAGTCTCGCCTACGAGCCCGAACGCCGGGAAGCTGCATACCGCTGCCCCCCCCCCCCCCCCGCCCCCCGGCGACCGTGATCTATCTGCCAGTGAATGTCCCGTCAAAATAGGTCCTGCCATTTAAGGGATTAGCCGGAATAAACAGACAGACAGACAAACATTTTAAAAATTGTGTTTTTGTTATTTATTACGTGTATACTTACATATGCATTTAGTAAAAACTTGTTATTTCGACATTACAAACAGACACTTCAATTTTATTTATTTTTATAGATTTTTTGGACAGTAAAAAACTATGCGTCAAAATTCCAGGTGGAGAGAACCAAAGATAGGCCGCTGGTTTCCGGCGCATTAACTGATAAGCAAGCAATGGTGTTCCTAGCCGCTCAGCTCACGTTGGCTTTGGGCGTTCTTCTACAGTTGAACTGTTATAGTATAGTCCTCGGAGCGAGTAGTATGTGTAAGTAGTAATTCTATATTTGACCCACCGCTGAGTACAACCGCTGGTGGTTTACTTTCAACCCACTCAAAAAAAGGAGGAGGTTCTCAATTCGACCGTATTTTTTTAATGTGTTACCTCAGAACTTTTTTTTAGGTGAACCGTTTTGATGATTCTTTTTTATTTGAAAATTAAACTTATATAGTCTAGTTTAAACTGAACCACTGATAGAGACTAGCAATCATAGTATTTTTTATAGAATAAAGGTGACAAACAAGCACACAGTCCACCTGATAGTTAGTGGATGCTGTGGCTCATAGACATCTACATTTATCCTCGATTAAGAATCAAAATGCAGATGCATTGTCACCCCTGAGGACAAAGATGGAGTGCCTCGTTTTCAGTAAAATGGGTTTTCGGTTCTCTACACTCACCATACGAAAAACAGCAGCATTAAGCTGATATATTACGCTGGTATTCGAGGTGGTCCCATCCCGGTAGAGCCGACACATTCATGCTACAACCATAATATAGCTGCTGCATGGCTCTACCACGTAAAAAAGTATTGATTAATGAAAAAAATATTTTGTCCCTTTATTTTTCTTTACCACTGAGGCAACCTAGAACTTGGCATCTCTGTTTGCTCTAGGTTGGACTGGAATAATTATTTCGATGTGTCCTGAGGCTAACCTACCGTCTGTTGCATTCTATGTTTTATAGAATTGAAGTGGCATACGAACTTACAATCCACCACTTGATGGTAAGTGGCCACTGCTGTCCATAGACACCTGCAACCAAGTTTTTTTTATAGGATAGGGTGACAAACGAGCACACAGTCCACCTGATGGTAAGTGGTTGCTGTGGCCCATAGACATCTACATCTATCTTCGTTTCCGAATTAAAATGCACATGCGTTGTCAGCCGTGAGGACTAACATATAATGCCTCTTTTTCAGTAAAAAGGGTCTCCGGTTCACTACACTCACCATACGAAACACAGCAACATTAAGCTGCTATTTTACGCTGGTATTCTGTGAGAGCGTGGTCTCTGCCCGGTCGAGCCGACCCATTCGTACTACAAATATACTACTAATATAGCTGCAGCATGGCTCTACCACGTATAAAAGACGTTCAAACAAAGAAGGTTACAGATATGTCGTCCTCTCTGAGGACTAAGATCGAATGCTTTTCAGCCTGTAACTATACTACCATTACACTGCTGTGTACCCGTATATGCTACTTGACGGCCATAAATTGTAAAACTCACGCATGTTTTTCTTTATATCTAATATATAAAATTCTCGTGTCGCGGTGCTTGTTACCAAACTCATCCGAGACGGCTGAACTGATTTGTATGAAATTTTTTGTGCATATCGGGTAGGTCTGAGAATCGGCCAACATCTATTTTTCAAACCCCTAAATGATAGGGGTGCCCACCCCTAAATATTTTTTTTATTTTTTTGACAATTTTTTTTATTTTTAATCCTTTACGATTTAGCATGGAAAATACATAAAACTTCAAATGTTCACCCTTCTACGATCTACCTTTCTGTTTGTGATCTGTTTTTTAATCGCGATTTTTAAAACTAAAAAATATTTCCTATTCCTAATGTACGAGGGGTAAGCATGGGCGTTTTAACTGATATTTAGTTTTCATATCGTTATTGAAAACCGTTTTTAAATATCGATATCAGTAGTAATGGTTTACAACCGAAACATAACCTAAAATCAGGGGTATGAAAGTCCTCAGTAGCTTGCTTTACATTGTTACTAGTGCCATCTCACAGTAAAAGTACTATTTTTCTCGATATTTTCATAATTTATTAAAAGATGGCGCCACTGTGGGTATATATTATTTATACCGAAGCTTAAATCATGCTAGCAAAGTTTTGAAATACGCCGGTATATATATATATATATATATATATATATATATATATATATATATATATATATATATATATATATATATAAAATAATCTTTGTAAAATTCACACCATGGTCTTCTCAAACAAACAATAAATATTTACTTAAAACAAATCAGTTAATTTTTTTTTTCGAAATAATACTGAACGTAGGTGATAGCGCCCTCTAGTGTAATTTTCAGTAATTTATAATCCCTACGCCATCTATAAAAGCCCAGAAGAAACTTTCCTCGTTTCGTCACCTAATTATTTTTCAGAGTGGCTCATCTATGCCTGAAAACTGTAGAACGAGTGCAACATTTATTTTACGAATTACTTCGATTATTTTAGTTTAGAAGTCAGAAGCTCTTATATAATCTTAGATGTAATATTTAGACATGTATGTTAATATATACCTGATTTATGATTGTTATGCAGTAATATAGTATTATAAATGTCTAAAATTACATTCTTTCTATTCTCATTTATGTCTATAATGTTTATACCCCAGGTCAATAGTTTATTTGTTATTATTATATTAATAATCATTATTTTTTATAATGATTATTTAAGTTGGCGAATTACCTTCATATACTTCACTAGGCTTATGACTGACAGGAAAGCTTTAAAACGAAATGTACAAAATGCAAACAAATATTACAAATAAATGTACAAACGCAACGTCAAAAATTAATAATTTTACAGATAGTTTCATAGTGAACGGCACACGTTACCAAACCAATATCAAGTGCGTAATTGTTACGTTTGAAAAAAAAATCAAATTCTAACTTTCACATAAACAAAAGTTGCCTAAACGAAATATAATATGATGAAACAAATCTAAGTCTAGTGTCTAATGTTCTAAAGATCATTTTAATCTGACAACTGTCACAACTACACAAACTTAAAAAATTTGGCAATTTCAACCATTTAAAATTCGACCTTATTATTAAGAATCTTATAATTATATTTCCTACGTGCACCGTTTCATGATAACAACCAAAATATCGCAATGAAATCCATATTCGCTTCATCTCTTTCATACGTATTTATGATACTGTCGCTAGAACGAGAAACAACGAATATCAAAGGACATCGGTTAGTTTTGGTTTTGGGCCGTTTTCGGTTTTTGGCATATCATTACAGTTTGCGTTTTACGTTTCGTACGTTAGTTAGTTGATTTTGGGTTTTGGTTGGATATGTGATAACGGTTATGTTCTTAGGTTTATCGATATGATATGATATTTGATAACATAACGTTATTAGTTACGTTTTGATATATCGGTCTCATGCCTAACGAGGGGTGATCCAAAAGTAATGATAATGAAAATAAAACACGGTAATTAAAGTTAAAATAATAATTTATTTTTCTACATAGTCTCCTAACAAATCAATACATTTAGTCCATCTTTTTTCTAAACCCAGGATTCCCTTTGAAAAAAATTCTTTGTCTTGACCCTCCCAAAACGCTTCCAGCGGCCATTACTTCGCTATCGTCTTCAAATTTCTTGCCTCGGAGGCGTTCCTTGAGCCGAGGAAAGAGGTAGTAATCACTAGAGTTAGATCTGGCGAATAAGGAGGGTGTTCGAGCAGTTCGAATCCCGTCTGAATGGCAGCCATCGCAACTGCGGCTTTGTGTGCCGGTGCGTTGTCTTGGTGAAACAGCACTCCAGCTCGCAGTTTGCTTCGTCTTTTTTCCTTAATGGCCTCCCGTAATCTTCTTATTTGGTCTGCGTAGTAAGAGCCCGAAATAGTGGCTCCCTTTTCCAAATATTCCACCATAATTATGCCTTGAGCGTCCCAAAAAACAGATGCCATAACCTTTCCCGCCGAACTTGAAACTTTGAATGGCTTTGCCGTCGGTGAGGAGGTTCGCTTCCAAGTCATCGATCGTTGTTTCGTTTCAGGATCAAAATGGTGGATCCAGGTCTCGTCCATAGTCACCAAACGGAACAAAAAATTTTCTTGATCTGCTTGGAACTTTTCGAGATTGACCCTCGAAATGTCAACTCGATTTTTCTTTTGCTCGTCGGTTAACATTCTGGGTAACCAACGCGCAGAGACCTTTTTCATATGGAACTCGTTCGCAAGGATTCTTTGAACGCTGCCATTGAGATTCCTGTGACCTCAGCTATATGCCTGATGGTCACTCTTCGATCTGCCAACACAACATCTTCGACTTTTTTCACGTTGTCTTCAGTGAGAGACGTGGATGGGCGTCCTTCGCGATGTTCATCTTCAGTGGATGTTCTGCCCAGTTTAAACTCCTTAGCCCAGCGTGCAACTGTTGAATATGGAGGAGCAGAGTCCCCCAATGTTTCCACTAAGTCACTGTGTATGTCTTTTGAAGACATTTTTTTCAAACAGAGGTACTTTGATGACAGCTCTAATTTCGTTTTTCTCCATGTTGATGTTATCTCTTTGACAGTTCGTGTTCAAATGAATGTATCTCCCGGAAATCGTGATCTATTTATATGATTTTTTTAGGCTGACGTAGTGAGTATATAAGCTAGCAAAAATATTTTTTTTTTTGATTTTTATGCGGACCTGAAGTAACCGATTATCATTACTTTTGGATCAACCTGGTATATGACAAAACAACGTTTGCCGGTTCAACTAGTAATTTTTATAAAGAAAAACATGCGTGAGTGTCGTGGAACACTCGTATGTAACGAAGTTCCTTTCCTAGTATATTATTATTGATAAACGTATTATATTATTGATTTACAAATACAAATAAAGGAATTACTAGCGTCTTATAAATGAATCCGTGCGACAGCAAAAGCTGCCACGCGGCAGCTTTTGCTGTCGCACGGATGGGCCGGCTCGAACCGGGGTGGTACCACGACCTCACAGAATACCAGCGTGAAGTAGAGGTTTACCTCAGCGTTTCGCTTGGTGAGTGCAGGTGGCCGGAGCTCCTTTTTACTGGAAAAGAGGCATTCCATCTTAGTCCTCACGGGTGACAACGCATTTGCATTTTGAATCGCAAACGAGGATAGATGTAGATGTCTATGGGCCGCAGCACCACTTACCAACAGGTGAACTGTGTGCTCGTTTGTCACCCTTATCTTATAAAAAAATATATATAATATTTCTTTCATGGCAACTTAGGAAAAAGTGCGAGGGAGATGGATATTATTCCATTTCGCTTCATTATAGCCGCCAAGGCAGACGGCCTACCTCAGAAGGGGTCGTGACTCGTGACGGAAAAATCTTACTACTTTTTCTCGTCTAGCCCCTATACGCTAAATTCGTACCGTCCGATAAGGAACTTCGTTCTAATAAAATTCTTTGTTACAGTGCTTGTAGTAACCTACCCTCTGATGAAGCGGATCACAAACTACCCTCAAATATTCCTAGGGGCGACTTTCAACTGGGGAGCGCTATTAGGTTACTCGGCGATACAAGGTAGTTTGGAGCCCTTGATTTGTCTGCCTCTGTACGCTGGGGCCCTTGCATGGACTGTGGTCTATGACACTATTTATGCTCATCAGGTGAGATTTTTGATAGGCTATTTGAATTTGATAGTAAAATAATGTATAACGCTACTGTTACAGCCTATTAAAGTCAACTGCTGTACTTACCCCCCCCCCCCTCCCGATAGATTGCCTCATAGGGGGGATTTTGCCATAGTTGTAATGTTACTGTTGATTTAATAATTTCACCGCTCAGTGGGTCATGTGCTCTTGGTAGATTATCTTCTGTACATCCATCCATTTCAGCCTATTATAGTCCACTGCTGAACATAGGCCTCCCCCATAGATTGTCTCATAGGGGAGATATTTACCATAGTCGCCATGCTTGGCATGCGGGTTGGCAACCGCTGTTTTTTATTTTTAGTTGTTAATAGGAAAACGCCGATGCCCATCTACTGGTTTGTTTCCCTCTGTCGCCTCTTAAGACACCCATGGGACGATATGGGGTAGTGGATATTCTGACACCGCTTACACAATACATAATGTATGTCACTTGACAATCAGGCTGTTGCATGAATTGGTCTATGAACTGTAACACGGGAAACCCCCGAACAGGATGTAGACTCAGAGATGGTTTCGAAACGTCGTGGTAGCAACCAGCCTATTTGTTAATGCCCGATGAAAACAAAGAGTTGTTATAAGTTTCTAGTGTGTATATCTGTGTGTATGTCGAATCGATTTTGAATAAGTATTTTTCGTTTGAAAGGTGTCTTAATTGAGAGTGTTCTTTGTTATGTGTCGAGAAAATCTCTTCAGCCGTTTGAAGATTACTAGCTCTTTTTGTTTTGGGTTTTTTATTTATTTATTATGCCTATAAAGCCTTAGACCTACAATGTGGCTCCTGCCTCTTGCTGTTTTGACATTGAGTGAAATTAAAAACTGTTTCTATTCGGATAGACCTGTATGAAAGTCTTTTTGGAAGTCAAAAAAGCTACGCTATTGCTTCAACAAGTCCCTTCTGACTGCATCGTTTATCTAGAGGTCGTAAGCGCGGCTGCTTACCATGTTGTACCGGGTTCGAATCCCGCGTCAAGCCAAAATCAGTTATTGGTTTTTTCTGTCATGAAACCATCAGTAGCAGCCCGGAGTCAGGAATTAGATGGTGTTTTACCCCCGTGCCTCGGAAAGCACGGGAAGTCGTTGGTCCTGCGCGGACTTTATTTTATAGAATAAGGGTGACGAACCAGCACACCGTCCATCTGATGGAAGTGAATGCTGTGGTCCATAGACATCTACATCTATCCTCGATTAAGTTTCGAAATGCAGATGCGTTGTGACTAAGATGGAATGTCTCGTTTCCAGTAAAAAGGGTTTCCGATTCTCTACACTCACCATACAAAGCAAGCAGCATTAAGCTGCTATTTTACGCTAGTATTCTATGAGAGCGTGGTACAACCACCGGTAGGACTGGTCGTGCCGACCCGTTCCTGCTACAACCGTAATATAGCTGCAGTGTGGCTCTACCATGTACAGAGACTGTATATAAGATTGAGGCAATAGTTCCTGTTCTTGCTCATACGCTCATGAACTATAATTCTGTCCAGTCCAGATGGCTAGTTTCCGTTGAGACTGGGAGCCGTGACTGAAATTAGGTTTGGATGACATTCGATTGTATGTTTTTTTATGTGCATTACCTCATAACTTTGTTCTACGTGAACTGATTTTGATGATTCTTTATTTGAAAGCTGGTGCTACTCATGTGGTCAGTTTGATCAAGGTCTAACCACTAGTTTTTAAATTATCCTTAATAATTTATATTGAGGTCGGTTGTACAACTTTTATAATTTTACCACTTGTATGTCTTTGCCCTTTTCTAATCTATTTTCTACCGACTTCAAAAAGGAGTAGGTACTCAATTCGACTGTATGTTTTATATGTAAGTGTTACCTCATAACTTTGTTCTACGTGAACCGATTTCGATGATTCTTTTTTATTTAAAAGTAGGTGCTTCTCATGTGGTCCCGTATAAATTTGATCAAGATTCGACCAATAGTTTTTGAGTTATCTTTAATAATATATATTAAAGTGTTGTACAAGATTTTTAATTTTTAAACTACAAAGTAAACAGCAATAACTTTGTTATTATTTCTAGGATAAAGACGACGATGCCCGTATAGGCATGAAGTCGACAGCCCTTACCTTTGGAGAGCACACTAAGCCTGCTTTGGGCGCCGCTTTGACATTAAGTGTCGCGTCGCTAGGTGGCGCTGGATTCGCAGCCGGGCTAGATTCGCCTTACTACGCGGCGCTGGCTTTGTACGCGTTACACGCTGGAAGACAGGTAATGTTTATCTCTCGTTTTGATGTATTCAGGCCCGTATTAATAAACGTTACTCAACGGCGAACTCAAGTGCGTAATCATTTGATACACTCTCATTACGATATCAGCATCTCAAGATCGTTGCTAATTAATAAACACATAAAAGCAGTATCTCAAATCCCTGTACTTAGGAATACTTTTCTGTGACTTGCACTCAAGTACACACATCATACAGCCTCATTACGATATCAGCATCTCAAGATCGTTGCTAATTAATAAACACATAAAACAGTATCTCAAAACGCTGTACTTAGGAATACTGTTCTGTGACTTGCACTCAAGTACACACACTTGAGAGTCGAGTTTCGTTTATTAATCAGTGTGGCACTCAGCTGATATCGTAAACCTAAACCGCATCTTGACATATTTTTATTAATAAGATCATAACATCAAGATTGTACTCAAGTGCGTGTACTTTAGCTGAGTAACGTTTATTAATACGGGCCTTAAACTTTCATGTAATAATAACCCCTGAGAATGACGTGATCGCTATCAAGCTATTGCACACCTAATAACGCTCTACTCACGATATGTGACCATAACTCAATTTCGCTACATAAAATCGTTCTTATACTTTTAGCTAGACATCAAATCTATATTATTATTAACGGTACAATCACTACCAGACATTAAATTATAAGGTTAGTTTATTTTGTAATTGATTCTCTTTAGATTACATAACAAAACATGTAATTGATAAAATATATGGACTGCCGTACGTTGGTCCGTGTGTCGGCGAGTCTTCTCGCTTAATAGAAATGTAAGCAATAGATTGAGATATATATAAATAAGATTCCATATATTCTAAGGAGGATCTCTATTGATTTTTGTTATTGAACTCAACACCGTTTAAAAGTTATTTTTTTTTTAATCAAAATTTCATTTAATTAAAAAAGACGCTCATGAGGCGTGCACTTTCGGATTTTCCAAATTATTTCTAATTTGTTTTGGTTTGTTAATTGTTGTTTAATATATATGATTATTAAAACCCTCTCAGAAATGAGAGGAGGCCTGTGCCCAGCAGTGGGACGTAAATAGGCTGCAACTTTACTTTACTTTTATATATGATGGTAAACTATTATTTTATTTCAAAAAAAAACAAAGTTCCGCTGGGTTTCCTGCTGATTCTTCCCAGGACAGAGGTTTTTACCGAACCAGTGGTAAATTAAACGTCACAGTGACTTACAATAAATATAACATATAATCTGTATTGAATTAAAAAAAATCTGTTTCGTTTCAATAGTTTTTAATAGACTATAGAAGGTAAATGCTGATACGTTGTCACCCCTAAGGGCTAAGATAGAATGTCTCGTTTCAAGGAAAAGGGCCTCCAGTTCTGTGAACTCACCATACGAAACAGCAGCATTTAGCTGCCATTTCACTCTGGTGTTCTCTGAGAGTGTGGTCCTTCCTCGGTAAGGCCGACAGCGTGGCTACCACCACATATATCACCAAAATTTATATTTAATCATTTTATTCTCTTACAGATATACACACTAAACCCAGATAACCCCGAAGACTGTGCGAGAAAATTCAAGTCAAACTCTATGGTCGGCCTGTTCATCCTGCTCGGCACCCTCGGTGGCGGATACAGACAATACATGGAGAATAGACAAAAGAACAGGGGCAGAGAGAATATAGAAGCAACAAAGAGTTGTTTATTTAGTTGAATTTATTATACAAATGATAGATAAGATTTCAATGGTATTTAATAATTGTAGCTCTTTTTGCTCGGCTGCGCGCCGCAAAGGAGAGTATTGTGTTTATCAGCCTATATATGTATGTATGTTTGTTCCTTTGTGGTACTCTTAGAGATCAAACGCGTGGGCCGATTTTGAGAATTCTTACGTCAATCGGTTTGTCTTAAATTCATGACAGTGTATGCTGTCCGCTTAGATACGGTATCTTTATTGTCGTGCTGCCTTGACACGTGCCGCATCTTGTCAAAGGCGCCATCGAAACATCAAAGATCGCCGCGTGTGGCGTACAACCGCAGGAAAATTTATCACTATTAAAACGAAGCGCCTTAGTGAAAGGTTTTTGCCAACTAACTTGTGTTTATTATTTATATTCGTATTTTATTACAATAATCATAAGAATACTATTATATAATACTATTTTATCCTCAAAATACAAAAACCTTTATTTAACAGACACGGTAAAAAATAATAAAATAAAAGCAAAATTAAGTGTGCCTCCGGGTGTACCGACAGTATCTTAGCGAACAGATTATAATTAAAATTAAATATGGCGACAACCAGACGCCATAATCTTCTTTTGTATTAATCTACGTACGGAGTTGTCGGCTTTGTTATTTAAATGTTTAAGAATTAAACGGATAGCAGGTTTCATAGCAGTTCCTTAAATAATAACGGCATCTTGACGGCTCCATGGCGCAGTAGCTTAGCAACAAGTTACGGTGCCAAGGGACGTAGGTTCGAATCCCGCACGGAACGAATATTTGTGTATGGCCTACAAATAATTGTACCGGATCTGGATGTACTTATAAAATTTATGTATGTAAACTGTCTCCACGATCTCTACATAGTATAAAAAAAGTCGCTTCTCGCCGTCTGTACGCCTAGATCTTTTAAACTACGCAACGGATTTTGATGCGGTTTTCATCAATAGACAGAATCATTCAAGAGGAAGGTTTATATGTATAATACATGCATATTACGTATTATATAATTCTTCTGTCCGTGCGTGTGTGACTGAACTCTTCCTAAACGGCAGGACTGATTTTGATAAAATTTTGTGTGTGTAATTAAGTTGATTTGATAATGGTTTAGATTCACAATTGGTGGTGTTGTTGTCGAGATCCAGAAATCAACCGTGCGAAGCCGGGGCGGATCGCTAGTACAGGAAATTTCTAGTGTAGGTGTATCTTTGTTTTAAAGACAGAAATTTTATGTATGTACAGTGTTCTTCAATTTGTTGAAATAAATATTAATTATTAACAAAAAGTAAAAGCCGACTTCAACGAACTTCACATTCTTAAGTCGGTGTCTTAGCATAGTGCAGGGGTTACCAAACTTTTTCAGTTCTCAGCACACAGAGGTATAGTATTTAGCAGAGTTATAAGCATAGTGCAGGGGTTCCCAAACTTGTTTAGTTCTCGACACACTCAGAGGTATAGTATTTAGCAGAGTTATAAGCATGATGCAGAGGTTCCTAAACTTTTTCATTTCTCGGCGCAATATTATATAACCTATCGATCGAACTATGTATAGTATTGAGTGTTACCAAAAAGTAGTTTTAATTTATGAAAGAAAATTGTTATAATTAGTGAAAACCTATCCAGTTATAGTTAATTTAATAATAGTCGTATAGCAAGATTATTAAGTTAAGCAGGCCATTCACGTAGCGACAGTAGTACGGACCATCTCACGAACTCGGTCATATGCGACAGGTTCGATTGTGAATTGATTGATCGCAGAGCGGTCCTTAGGCCCAAGAACATACAAAGGTTTTATAAAAACCTTCCATTAATATCAAGGAAAGAAAGTGTCAATGCATCAAATAATAAAGATGGAAGAAAGAATATGTAAAAAAAGTATGATTGTATCACCGTATGCAGGGGTTTGTGGTCGAATTAAAATTCGTAACGGTATTACCTGAGCCTAATAAGAAATATGTAACCACTAAAATTGCAAATTTAAGAAGTTGAAGGAAAAAAAAGATTTTTATTTCTTTTATCCATCATCATCGTCATCATCATTACAGCCCTTTACAAGTCCACTGCTGAACATAGGCCTCCCCCGAGTAATGCCGCAAAGCACGGTCCTGAGCCACCTGCATCCATCGTTTTCCTGCATCTCTTACCAGGTCGTAACTCCATCTAGTGGGGGATGCCCTACACATCGTCCGTCGGTACGTGGCCGCCACTCGAGAACCCTTTTTCCCTATCGGTTGTCGGTTCATCGAGCTATATGGCCGGCCCATTGCCCCTTCAGCTTACTAATCCGATGGGCTATGTCGGTCACTCTGGTTCTACTGTGGATATCCTCATTTCGAAGTTTATCACGCAGAGAAACTCCTGATCATAGCCCTCTCCATAGCTTGCTGAGCGACCTTGAGCTTCCTCATCCGGCCAGTAGTGAAGGACCACGTCTCAGTACCATAGGTCATCGCTGGCAACACGCACTGGTTGTACAGTCTTGTTTTCAAGTTTTGAGGTACACCTGATGAGAAAATGTGCCGTAATTTCCCGAACGCTGCCCAACCGAGTTGAATCCGTCGATTGACCTCTCGGTCGAAGTTGGACTTACCTAGTCGGACTATTTGTCCCAGGTCGGAGTATGTTTATACTCCGTCAACAACTTCGAGCTTAGTGCTCCCAACAACATTTAATCCATACATCGCAATAATGCTATTTATTACTAATAATGATTTTCTTTTTTTTTGTCTGTCCTAAACGTGATTGTTAATCATGAGATCTTGGGTTGGGCCAAAACAAGTTATTGGGTTTTTACGTCGAGAAGTTCTCAGTAGCAGGCTGGAGTCGGGAAGTTGGCGGTGTTCCACCATTGTGCCTATTTTCCATCAGGTGAGCCGCGTGCTCGTTTGCCCACTATTCTATAAAAAAAAGGCAATAAAGAGAGCACCTGTGCTTGCGCACACACACGTTGCCCTACAGTCCTGTCCTGCGCAAATGGCTAGTCTCTGTTGAGACAGCTTTTATTTTTTATATACTTTCTTAGTCGTAATGTAGTGATTTACGGAGCATCCACCACTTTCCGTAACTACTGACAGGCCCGGGACTATATTTTTTTTGCGAAGTCGTAACGCATGTGTTCTATTCGAACTGTTTTGCGACGGCTTGTACCGTCCGTACTATTGTCGCTACGTGAATAGCCCCTTTGAGTATTTTTTTTTCTTGACATGCTGTTGGAAATGCTTATTCAAATAAACATTTAAGGGGGGCTCACGAAAAAATATTAATGGAGGTTTTTAAAAAAAAATATAAAGTAATTAATAACTAAGTCATCATAGGTAAGTGGATTCTTGGATTTATTGGTAAGGTTAAAATTTCTTGTGTTAAGATGTTATGTTAAAAATAAAGATAGGATAGAAAAAATTACCTTTTAATATTTTCTACCAACTTCAAAAAGGAGACGGTACTCAATGCGACTGTATGTTTTTTTATGTATGTTACCTCATAACTCTTTTCCGGGTGAACTGATTTCGATGATTGTTTTTTTTTATTTGAAAGCTGGTGCTTCTCATGTGGTCCTATATAAATTTGATCAAGGTCTAACCAACAGTTTTTTAGTTATTCTTAATAATTTATATTGGAGTCGATAGTAGAAAATTTTTAATTTTATATTATAATACTAAATATTGTGAGCAGATATTTTATTAAAGTTTAGTATCTGTTTATTTAAAAAAAGAAACCAGTAAAGATAAAAGAGCAGTATTTTTAAACCACTCAAAGAACAAAATTATACGTATTTTATATCAGAGCTTGTGAAATCTACAACAGGAAAGACGGCATAATTATATATTTAATATGTCTCATTATTTATTTTGATTACAACACAAGTTTGTACTACACTTTGTATTTTAATCAAAAAAAAAGAATACAGTAACAGCTTAGTTCTGCACGCCATCTAGCGTGCCAATGTCGAAGCTATGCTTCTGGCGCTTTTGCTTGTCAAAGTTGTAAAAAAGTCACACACTGCTAAAAGAAGTTGTTATAGCAACTGTGTTTGTCATTTGTTCTAGGTAATTCAACAGTACAACCACTAGTAGCACAAGATAAAAAGGAAAATTTAATTGTTTAAAGAAAATAAGATACTTGTATTATCACAATCTTCTTTAGTACATGGGCATAATATTTGTAACTACTGAGCTTCTACTCAATAAACACTTCCACGCTGACATTGGCGAATAATCAAAAACCGCCATAAAAAAAGAAAGAAGAAGTGTCAAAATTTTCCTAGATCTCACTTATACAATATGTAACAAAAAACCTGTGGTTCCCGTTAAGTACGTTATCAGGATCATTATTCAAACGTATAGAAACAACTTTTTTTTTTAAAAACTCGAACAATATTTTTTTTTTAAATAACTGTATGCAAATTGTATGGTTTTATTACCTCCGCATTGTCTGGGGAGTAAGAGGATTGTCAAAGATCCCGCTTTACTTAGCTTTAGCATCGGCTAGTGTCAGTAAAAGGTAATAAAACCACATAAAATTATTATTTTTTTTTGAATAAAAAAAATATTGTCGAGTTTTTGAAATAACAAGTTATTTCTATACGTTTGAATACTGATCCTGATAACGTACTTAACGGGAACCACAAGGTTTTTGTTACATGTTGTATACTATAAGTTCTTTCATAAAAAGGTCAACCGCGTGCATATTTCACTGTAGAAAAGTGATAAAATGATTAGTTTTAAACAAATAGTTGACATTGCAATGTTAACAATAACGGTGCAAGTTCTAAAAAGAGAAAGAGTGCTCTGCTCGCACGCACTTAACAAGGATGGATTGTTTTGATCGCGCTTACACGTACTGCGGCGGTGCTTTAGAGCACACGCGGTGCCCCCACACATTCAAAAACACCGCCGCCAATGACGGTGCTGCCAGATTTTAAAATTTCCTGAATTTTAGGCAAATTTTGGTAATTTAGGTACCAAAATCGATGTATTTAAAATAACAATGTCATTCTTATTTTCATTAGTAATATGATGTTTAAATAGAATAGTTGCCGATTTTGTGTTTTTAAAACACTTCTAAAATAAGGTAGAGGAGGGGGTGAAAAGCAGTATTTTTAGGTCTAGTGACCCCAGATGGCAAGTACCCACGTTACGCCACTGAAGGTCAGGTTAAGACAGGTGAGGAGAAGTAAATACATAGTACCCATGCGGTACAATATCTCCTGCGCAACCATTTACTTGGAAGAGGATGAAATCCTTTTTGTTATAAAGCGTTTGAAAAACATTTTAAAACAACTTCCGAATTGTATAGTTAACAATATTCATAATTAATTGTGTGGTGCTTACGTTAATGTAATCAAATTTGGTTTATCAAGTAATATTAAATGTTTCTTGCCATGTTATGTTTATTTATTTCATTTCATATTCTTACCCAAGCCCGCGCCATGTTCATATCAGTGGCTAAGCTCCTAGGACTAAGCTAGCTGTAAATTAACTACTTTGTTATGATAAATTTAGAGAGTATTTCGATGAAAGAAGCAGGGAAAAGAGAATATGGTATAAAACAATTCAAAGTCAGCCTCTTCGGATACCGTGGTATAATAATATTGAAATGAATAGAAACCATATAATTGTTATTCATAGGTTACATTCTGGGCACTATCCCAATAAAAAAAAAATTGTATTTTTGATGAAAAAATCAGACTAGCCCAATTGCGATGTTTGTCATATTATAGAAGATGTCCAACATATTATGCTAGCAGAATGTGTCAAATATCAAAGGAAAAGGGAGAATCTGGTGCAAAAATTTAATATCAATTTGTGTGAAACGGGTTGGTTTTTGAGTATACTTGCGGAGCCACACTCAGCGGTAGCAGAATCATTCATTTCCATATTCTTACCACATTGATTCCCTTTCTAAATAGCATTTGTGTAACATGATTAATTAGGTTACGATAAGGCCAACATATCCTTGTAGGATAAAAGCCTTTTTAAATAAAGAGATAATAAAAAAAAAATTAACTACGCTGGCATCAATGAAATTGTTTATTGCAATTTTAAATGCTAATTTACCACGTGCTTGACGGTGAAGGAATACTCTGTGAGGAAACTTTCAACGAAACCTACATCTTTGAAGAATAAAATATTTCAATGTACAACACGTTCTTTTTTCATTCAAAACCAACGGAGGGTCTGCCTTTTTTAGAACATACTGCACATTGGCCAGCTTCCAGCATTTCGGCACTATACAAACCCTACCTTGTAGTGGCGCTGGCGGTGTAAGAATATCCACTATCCCATATCATCCCGTGCGTGTCGTAAGAAGTGACAGGGAGAAACGAATCAGGAGATGGGCAGCAGCGTCTTCCTAATAACGACTAAAAATAAAAAAAACAATTATCCTCTCCCCCTAGGAGGCAATCTATGGGGTAGACCCATGTTTAGAAGTGGACTTAGGATGTAACGGTACAAATCCTTAGTGAAAAGCGCACAAGATTGTCAACCTCAACTCAGGTGCACAAGCCTTTAGAACTACAGCTGATATACCATATGCCCCTATAGCTTTGTCCATGCTAGCTAGACCTGCAAGGTAAGCTAGAACATTTTTGTTAGTGATACGTTCAAGTGATCCCCAACATGAGATACCGTAGTGAAGTAATTGAGGTAGAACGCTGTCGCCAGTGTCTAGACGTGAATTACCAGGAAACCGAGACGCGAATTAGTCCGCTTTTTAAGCTGTATGCGCTAGTCTGCCACCAGTGGAGGCAGTAAAGGCTAACTATTGTATTAAGCTAAAATTGTATAAAAAGGGTTATTATAATGTTACGAGCTTGGGGTTCGAGACAATTAAAAACTGCCGATGGAATTACCAAAATTGACACTTTAATCACACAACACTAATTACAATCTAAAATCACACTAATAATAAAACACAGTTCGCCGTTACTTCGCTTCGAAGTATTCTCTTGTATCGCCAATTCAATACTGCCCCGGTCGTGGTCTATACCGGTCTTATATAGGGCCTCAGATAGTTCCCAGAACCTTCTACTGTAGCGACATCTAGAATGTTCGAGTACATATCGGTCCCGAAATTTCTGGAAGGATCTCGACTCTCCTAGTTCTGCTACTCGACACTAGAGGGCGCTAGTGTGACTAGTGTTGCCATGTACAAGACATAAATAGCGGCGCGCAATACTTTCATTTACTCGACACTAGGGGGCGCTAGTGTAACTAGTGTTGCCATGTACAAGACATTAATAGTGGCGCGTAACACTGCCCCCTCCTAAGACATGCTCGTCCCGAGCATTATTGGCCCCATAATAACGCGCCAGTCGATCCACATGGACAATCTTAGGAGTACCTCTGGCACCTTTCTGTATCCGGTAGGTTACATCATTGATCCTTGTCACAATCCGGTACGGTCCGTCCCATTTAGCTTGAAGCTTAGGAGATTTCCCTTTGCTGCGAACTGGATTGTGTAACCACACTAGTGAACCTTCATCAAAGCCCTTGTTGTTCATTTTGCGGTCATACCGTGTTTTCATCTTCTCAGACGTTTGCTGGCCCGTCTGTCTGACGTGCTCATAAATGTCATTCATTTTGTTCCGCAAGTCATTTGCATAATCGGTTATACTGCGTGGGGCATCAGGTGGTATTCCGGTGATCAGGTCTGCAGGCAGCCGCAATTCTCTCCCAAAGTTTGCGAAAGCTGGTGTCACTGATGTACTTTCGTGAACAGCGCTTCGATATGACAACAAAAACGGTTGTATGTGCCTGTCCCAGTCTCGTTGCCGTTTTTCCACAACTTTTGCTAGGTACCTCTCCAATGTCTGATTAAATCTTTCTACCATTCCATCAGATTGTGGGTGGTAAGAAGTTGTTCGTGTTTTCTGAGTACCCATAACTCGGCAAGTTTCCTGGAATATTTGAGACTCAAAATTCCTTCCTTGATCGCTGTGAATCTCTAAAGGTACTCCAAAACGACAGAAGACTTCATGAACTAGTTTATCTGCAACTGTTGAAGCTTCTTGATTTGGAATGGCGAAGACTTCTGGCCACTTAGTGAAGTAATCCATCACTACCATGAAATACTTGTTACCACTTTCAGTTTCTGGAAACGGCCCCGCAACGTCAATGGCTATCCTCTCCCATGGTGCACCAACATTGTACAATTTCAATGCGCCTCTACTACGAATTTGAGGCCCCTTTACAGCCGCACAACTTGTACATTTGCGGCACCAGTCCTCGACATCGTCACGACAGTGGACCCAGTAAAACCGTTCTCGGATCTTCAGGAGAGTTCGTTTAACTCCCAGGTGGCCTCCTGAACAACCACTATGGTACAGCTGTAGAATATCCGGCACTTTAGCCTTAGGGACAACCATTTGCAAATGACACCTGTCTCCCCGACCATTTTCCCATTTACGGCACAGGACTCCATCCTGAATCAGCAAGCTGTCCCATTGGGCCCAATAGCTTTTCGTGGTCGAACTCATTGCTGAGACGTCGCTCCACTTGGGCTTAGGAGCACTGGCCTTCATCCATTCCAGAATCGGCTTAATGTCCGAATCTTCCTGCTGTGCATGTTGTAGGCTGTCCTTCCACTCATTGCTGAGCTGGTCTGTCCTGAGCATTCTCACAGATACCACTTCCTTACCCTCTTGCCTAGTACAATGCTTGCAATCTTCAGGGCAAGGTCTTCTTGACAATGCATCTGCATTGCCATGAGATTTCCCGCTGCGATGTTCGATCACAAAGTCGTATTCCTGTAGTAGTTCAATCCATCTCGCAACTTGTCCTTCCGGATTTTTGAACTGCAATAGCCATTTCAGTGCAGCATGGTCAGTTCGTAAGTAGAATTTCTGCCCTAGAAGATATTTGCTAAAATGCTGCAAGGACTTTACCACAGCAAGCAATTCCCGTCTTGTGACACAATAGTTCCTTTCCGGCTTTGACAACGACTTGCTGAAGTACGCTATCACAATCTCTTGATCACCATTCCGTTGAGACAACACACCGCCAAGTCCTATATCACTTGCGTCTGTGTCAACTATGAATTCCTTGCCCGCATCAGGGTACCCCAAAATAGGTGTTTTGCACAGGCGGTTCTTGAGCTCCTGGAATGCAATATCGCAACTTTCATCCCAGCAGAATTGTCGCTTCTCCTCGATTAGCTTGTGCAGAGGTTTGGCTATATCTGCAAAGTTCTTCACAAACCGCCGATAATAAGAGCACAAACCCAAAAATGCTCTAACCTGTGTCTTGTCTTTTGGGACCGGCCACTCCTTGACAGCAGCAATTTTCTCTGGATCCGTGCGGATACCTTCTTCCGACACTACATACCCCAAAAAACTAACTTGCCGTTTGAATAGTGAGCACTTCTTTGGACTCAACTTGAGGTTGGCACTCTGGATCTTCATGAGCACGCGTTCCAGGTTTTGAAGGTGTTCCTCAAACGTACGGCCTACGATGATGATGTCATCCAAATAGACCAGACAAGCATCTCCAATTAGCCCGGTAAGTACAAGCTCCATCAACCTTTCAAACGTTGCTGGAGCATTGCACAATCCAAACGGCATGACTTTGAATTGCCACAGACCCTTTCCTGTGGAGAATGCAGTTTTCTCCTTGTCCTTAGGGTCAATTTCAACCTGCCAGTAGCCACTTTTCAGATCTAGCGTACTAAACCACTTTACGCCTGTAAGCATATCCAGCGTGTCATCAATTCTTGGCAAGGGATAGCTGTCCTTCTTTGTAATGTCGTTCAGGCGGCGATAGTCAACACAAAACCGCATGCTGCCGTCCTTCTTCTTTACCAGCACCACAGGTGAACACCATGGACTAGATGAAGGTTCAATAACACCATCCTTCACCATTCCCTCAATCATGGTTTCCACTTCCTTTTCACGTGCTACAGGCAATCTTCTTGGCCGCTGACGAATAGGCAATTCTTGTCCTGTGTTTATTTTGTGTTGAACTAAGCCAGTCTTTCCTATGTCAGCTTCGTTTGACGAGAAAACATTGGCGTACTTGAGTAACAACTTCTTCGCCTTGACCATTTCATTCGGGGAAAGAACGCTGCGACAGTCTTCCAAAAGTGTGGTCACTATCGTTTGTCCATCCTTGCTGGGGGTCCCGGTCGATAGATATTCGCATCGACGCAACCAATCCACTTCCTCACTAGTACCAACCAATGTGCCTTTTTCTATAATCTGTTCCTGATCACAAAGGTTCAACACACGTACTCCTGAGATGTCGGTGGTTCTGACCAAGGTTCGAGCCACTTTCCATGGAAGGTCATTGTCTACCCTTTCCACGAGTACACAACGATGGGCTTGCCCAGGACTCCGAGGAAGACTAACCGGCACAATCGTTTCCGATCTCGGCGGAAGAACAATCTTCTTAAGGCTGTACACATTCCCTGGTAACGCCCCTTCCACGAAAAGTTCTTCTTGTCCACATTTCAAAACACCTTGCTTAACGTCGATCTCACAACAATTCTTCCTCATAAAGTCTAGGCCCAGGATGCAGTCGTCCATTATATCAGCCACGATGACATTATGCAGGTAGATCATGTTGCCTAGCTTCAACTCCATCTCCTTCTCTCCACGGACGGGTATGCGCTGACCAGTGGCTGTCACCAAATTAATGCGTTCTCGGTTGTATGCGGAGCCACCAAGGAACCGACATATAAGTTGGGAACTGACAACCGTGCGAGAGGCTCCAGTGTCTATGGTCAGTTTACATGGCGTTCCGTTGACTTCGCCCTTGATGATTAGGCTGTTCCCATCATGAGTTTGTGAGATCGAAATCCTTGGGGCTCTTTTAACATCAGCCAGCACCCGCCAGTTTCCCTGCTGCTGCTGGGCGGTGCTATTATCCGCACTACCCTCTCGAGATCGATCACCTTCCCTTTTTACAGTTCGCTTAGGGCAGCTGGATCGAAGATGGCCCCTTTCTCCACAGCCGTAGCACCTAGGGCTGTAGCTTTTATTGCGGTCCTGAACTTTAGCTGCTGCAACCTCCCTGACGCGGTGGGAACGATGATCCTGCCGCACGGCTTCCACCTCCAGTGCATGGGTCAAGGCGTCCTTAAGCGTCTCGTGGTGCCCGAGCCTCACAGCAGCTCTGACTTCAAGGTCGCGGATGCCGTCGATGAATGTCTGCACCAGGTTCCCTACAATAAGCGCAGGTACAGACTGGTACGCTTTTCGAACCAGCTTCTCCACCTCAAGGGCCCACTGCTGCAGGTTTTCGTTACTGCGTTGCACGCGATCTTTGAGCTGCGCACGAAAGACGTGTTCCAGGTGAGCGTCGCCATATCTCGCCTCCAATGCCTCAAGGAGCTGCTCGTAAGTCACTTCCTTACCGAGAGCTTCCAGAACAGTTAATGCCTGGTCGCGCAGGCCTAGGGTGAGAGCAGTCATGGCCTGACTTTTATTCCAGCCGTTCGCTTTCATGACAGCCTCGAACTGGATTTTATAGGCCGACCAGGAAGAAGTCCCGTCGAACGGTGGCACTTTGAATCCACGTAGCGAAGGTGTTGTAGCTACCACGGGAGCTGTAACTCCATCCCCAAGTTTGAGGTCGTCCAGCGTTTTCTTCACATCAGCCATCAAGTTGTCAACCCGATTGTTCACTTGGTCGATTCGGGTTTCAGCTTCCGACAGGCGGTTGTCATGTTGAGCAACCCTATCCTTCACCTCCTTTATCTCTTTCCCGAAGGTAGCGTGAAGGTCCTTCCTGAGAAGCATCTGTTCTTCCATACCGCGCTGCAGCTGCTCTTCCAGCCGACGGGTCTGTTCCTCCTGTCGGCGGGCCTGTTCCTCCTGTCGGCGAGCCTGATCCTGCAGCATCATCATCAGAGCACCTAAGTCAGGTGCTGCAGATGCAGGAGCTGCTGACGGGCCGGCCTCCGTGGTTAGCAGCTGCCCATCCGACGTTTGCGGCGTTGCATTACCAAATCGTCTCTGGTCCGTCTCCTGTTGGCGTTGACTTCGGGTACGGATACCCTCCGTGTCGTCTTTAGGTAAAATCGGCATATTTGATCCCACTTCTGACACCAATTGTTACGAGCTTGGGGTTCGAGACAATTAAAAACTGCCGATGGAATTACCAAAATTGACACTTTAATCACACAACACTAATTACAATCTAAAATCACACTAATAATAAAACACAGTTCGCCGTTACTTCGCTTCGAAGTATTCTCTTGTATCGCCAATTCAATACTGCCCCGGTCGTGGTCTATACCGGTCTTATATAGGGCCTCAGATAGTTCCCAGAACCTTCTACTGTAGCGACATCTAGAATGTTCGAGTACATATCGGTCCCGAAATTTCTGGAAGGATCTCGACTCTCCTAGTTCTGCTACTCGACACTAGAGGGCGCTAGTGTGACTAGTGTTGCCATGTACAAGACATAAATAGCGGCGCGCAATACTTTCATTTACTCGACACTAGGGGGCGCTAGTGTAACTAGTGTTGCCATGTACAAGACATTAATAGTGGCGCGTAACAATAATATAAATGTATACATGGTTTTATTCATTTATTGTATTTGTAAATAGTTTGTACATCCATTCACGTCATTTTTTTTTTAAATAAAGTTGCGCTGGGTTCATGTTGGTTCTTCCCAGGACAGTGGGTTTTTACGAACCAGTGGTAAAGTAAAAAATTACTTTCAATAAGAATTACCACATCAAATCAAATAATTTATTCAGTATCAGAGTTTTTTATAGCAGTGTTATGATTGAGGATTTCTTTTAAGTAATTAAATACGTGTGTTGGAAATTCCCCCTCTCCGTAACATGTGATGTGATCAATATTGAATAAAAAATTATTCTACTCTATTCTAACAGATGTTTGCTTAGACCGCTTTGGCAAGAGACCAAAAAACTACTGCTGGATGGTCTGGCAGAGCGTTTTGTGCCCAATATATTGAATCCTGTCGAAACATGCTTTAAGCAACGCTTTTTAGTAATACTTGGCAACCATGTTAAAATGTCGCTTCTTAGAGCTGATATCCGGAGGTATTCGGTTTCGAGAGTCAACCCGTGATAGATACGCCAAATGCTTGCGCTTTTCAACTTATGCGCATTCCGCGTTAAACCAAGGGGCTTAACCACCGATGGGTACATCAGCAAAAGGTATAAAATACTCCACAAATGACGCACTACATCGGCTATAGCATCAGTGGATTTCGACGGATCCGCAGAAGAGAAGCAGACCTCTCGCCAAGAAAGTAGCTGTTTTTTATATGAGAGAGAGAGCAACGATGATAAGTGACTACCACTGCACATGAACAACTGTAAAACTAGTGGAATTGCAGATGTGTTTGTGGCATTTAAAAAATAATAGGTTATTTTCTTGAAGGTCACTAAAGTCGTGTCGGTTCGGAAAAATCGCTGGTGGTAGGCGATTCCACAATGAATTTTTGCAAGGAAGAAAACTTCTTATAATTTTTTAGTTAGTCGAGGGTTTTCCGTTTAAGCAAATAAATAAATAAATCGCACAGTGGTGGACCGCAGTGGACCGCCAATCATCCAAATGGTATGGACCATTCGTATCTCCAGTTTTGTCGCGATGTGCAATGGTAAAATTGAGCGTCTGGAATTAGTCTGAACAATTCCTGTGAATAGAATAAAATAAATTTATGTGCGGCTATACAATTTGGCATAATTAACCTAAAATTACATTATATTAATTAACTATGTGCTCTGATGGTGAAGTGAATCTCAAGATAAAGTGTCTGTCTGCTTAGGTGCCTTGAGATACTATGGCCTGTATACTATGTCTGCTGACTCAAGTTAACGTCGAAATCTCTCTCAATAGGCTACGCAATGTGACTCATTAAGATTTGTAAAGCAATGTACTAAGGATTATTATCACTTGTACTGAGATTTAAAAAAAGAATTGGCTTCAAAGACAAACATCCAAGCCAAAAATCTTAATAAAGGAATCTTTGCCATAGAACTATGGAGTGTAGAGTCTTGTACATACAACTTTATAATTTGTGGTGTAGAGTACAAGGAGGACCATCTCTATATTATATGAAAAGTGTCCCTAAAAACGCGTCCAATAAGGGAGGCGCTGCAGTAGCATAGGATAAATTAAAAAAAAAGCGCCAAAATTAATTAGAATAAGATGGAGAAATAAACAAGGACCGACCAATCCGCTTGGTTTTGTACTACGTAAATAGTTGAGGTTTTGTATACTGGCATTTTACTAACTACTCTAGTCATGAAATGTTTTAAATATTTGAATTCAGCTGACTTCACTCCGTCTACAACAGCTATATTCATATCGTAGTTTTTCAGACGCCAGCGCTATTGTGGTAGATTTTGGAACCTTTATTTTCAGTATATAGTGGGACACTTTTTCAACTTTCGCACCTTATAAGATGGTTCTCCTTCTATTCTACACTCCATAGTTGTAGTTGTAGCATGGTGCGGATGACAGCTTATAGTTTGATGTGTCTAGAGTTGAACAATGTTAAATCGATTTACTAAATGGCGATTACCGATTGATTCACAAAGCAAAGCAAAAAATATTGATTAGCTATTGAGATAAAAAACTTAAAAACTGAATTATATTTCATTTTAAATTAGAATGCATATAAATTTTAGTCACAGTTAATACAAATTATGACATTATAATTGCTTAAACTATGTATTAATTTGAATGAAAAGTCATCTTCTTTTTTATTTTAATGGTAACTTTCACCTTGACATTAAAACAAACAAAATGGTTGACAGCACAGGTGGTTTGTAGTACCGTATTGACTGTACCTGCAGCTTTTTAGTACGAGTGTTAGTGCCATTCCTCGTACGTGTATAATCCCTAGACTAGCCTTGCGCTTTGGATTAAGTACCTATCGGTTGTTAGAATAGAATAGATTTTTTTATATTCAACATAGATCACATCTGATTCTTATTGAAAGTCATTATTTACTTTACCACTGGTTCGGTAAAAACCTCTGTCCTGGGAAAAACCAGCATGGAACCCAGCTAGACTTTTTAAAGATAAATTTCACAATATGAAAGATTGTGAGGTTTACCTTATTTTCAGGGGTTATTATCAACCATGTATTGATTTATATTATAATAACCCTATTTATACAGTTTTCGTTTTATAAAAAGATTAACATGGTAATAGTGTATACAATGCCCCAAGAATGAATTACTGACTCTGTGGAATAGAGAAAAAGGTATCACTACCTTGTGTTTGTTCCTAGTTACAGAGTGTACATTACTTTTTTTTTTACTAAAACTACTTTTGTTTTTGTAAACATACTTATATATTTCTTAAAATTTTTCTTTCTCGGGTTTAGGTTGCAAATAGCTATTATTGTCCTCTTTTGCGAAACAAAAATAGTTTATAATTCAGCCGCATTTCCCCATAGCAAAATCTCATAAGACATTGTGCTATAGAAATAACTGAAATAAACTAATCTAGCTGTCTCGACACTAGTGAGACCTCTAATCTCTTTTACAGCATAAGCTGCAGAGCTTAGTCTGCTTGCTAGTTTGGATATATGTGGGCCCCACTGAAGCTTTGTGTCGAGAGTGATGCCAAGAAAAACAGTTGATTTGGGAAGTCAAGCAAAGGGGTTAGTCTTTCGTCTCAGATTTAAATTGAAGCAAGAACAAGATAATGGCGGAATAAATATAAAATTATTTAATTTATTTTTGTTAATTTTACCAACTTTTCCATTTCTTTATTTTATGATTATTGTCATGAATTGTAAGTTACTTAAATTTAGTGTACATGTATATGACGGTATTGCACGATACATACTAAAATAGGATTATCTTATTTTATTTTCAACCAACCTCAAAAAAAGAAGGAGGTTCTCAATACGACTGATACTTTTTGTGTGTTATCTCAGAACGGTTCTTTTAGGTAAACCAATTTTAATTATTTTTTTTATTTGAAAGCTGACGCTTTTCATGTGGTCCCATATAAATTTCATCAAACATCTGACCAGTAGTTTTTTAGCTATCCTTAATAATGCGTATTTTATTGACTTCGACTACATTGATGATGTTCTCATTTTATTTATTGAGGTTGGTTGTATAAAACTTCTAATTTTACCACTTATTGTTAATCTTCATTAATGCGTCAATCATTTAGATTATCGCATCTCCAGTGATTAAAGAAAATGAAAAGTAGTATGTAACTGCGCACGCAAGTTAAATAAATAAACTTTTATAAATTTATAAGTAAAAAAAAAACTATAGTGTATGAGATTTTTGAAGTTAATGTTAATCTAATTAGCCTGGGAAGATTAAGGAAATCAGACCAAATAATTCATGTAGTTTTGAAAGTTGGTACAGTTATTCCTTAAGGTGCCCAGATGAATAAACTAAAAGTTCTCGAGAGAGGGACACAATCCGGCGGTGGGGGAGGCGGGGAAAGGTCTTTTTTCAAGATTTTAGGGTTGTGATGCGAAAAAAAATTTATAATATCTCTTTAGTGAGTTCTGCATTAATTATCTACATAAAATTTCCTATAAATTAGGTCTAAAAATTTTTACTATACGATTAACACTTTAGGAGATACAGTGTATTAAAAGTTATAAAAATAATAAACAAAAACCTTATACAAATTTTAATTCTGAAAAATTATACAATTTTTTTGCACGAGTAAGTATGCCCACTTATCAATAAAATTGTTTCATTTTCGTCATCTTTATCATCAACATCGATGGGGCCTCCATTAGTATAAGCTCCTAGTCCTAGGCAGCCCTTACAGATAAGACTACACTTAATGCCCGCTTTTCGGCATTTTCTAAAAATAAATAATGTTCAATAAATATTAATAAAATTTAAGAGTAACCAGTGACCGCTACTAACTGCGTAGTGCGCGTGGATTATTGCGTATGCATAGACTTAATATAAAAATGCCCTCTAGTGAGATTATAATAAGTCTAGCCTAGCGCTTCGGAATGTAGATGGAAGCACATAAAATATATCATTTTGTTCGTAAAATAATGTTCTAAGTTGCACCCCATGGCTACAACGCAAAGACTTTAAAAAAACATGAAAATAAGAGCAAAAGATACACAAAAAAACTTACGAGTATATCGATGTATGAATATTATTCTCGTAACATCGATGTGTCGATGTTTTCGAGGACTTAGGGCGGCCTCATATATACGGAATTCCGTTTCGATATTCCGATTCGGAATCCCGAACGCAGCAAGTTCATATAAAATCTATGACTCGCCACACACGTACGGTAGTTTTCCGTTCGAAATTTTGCGGGCAAAACGCGATTCCGTATGTGTGTGACGGGCTTTAACATGGATGTTTTCTTGCGAAACATCGACTTTAGGCCGGCCACATACGTACGGAATTCCGTGAATACATCACACACACACACACACACACACACACGCACGTTTTTTTCCGTTCGGATTAACAAGGGTCAGTTAAGAGACGTTAGCCATTGAGTCTAGACATTCTGCCAGCGAATAATGACGACGATTTTCTAATTGTGATTCTATTGTTGCTGTATCATTCTTACTAGGTGCATCCCCTTATCACCTTAAGCTTGCAATATAGTCAATACTATGTAAAAAGCTCTATCTATCCAGAGATATTTTTTAAATATTTATGTATGTGAATTCTTTCGACGAATTATTAAATAAAATAAGATGAAAGGTTACGAAAAGCTATACATCTACAAGATTAAATGTAAAAACGGCATAGTCGGGAAGGGTCACCCTAGGCGAAAGTTTATCGACCGAATTTGCGATATATTAAAAATGGGCCAAATCAAGAGTATATGTGGATGTGGAGGAAGCGAGAGAGGTGTGTCAGGATCGTGCCAAATGGAAGTCCATAATCTCTGCCTGCCCCTCTGGGTGACAGGCGTGAGTGTTTATGTTTATGTATGTTTTATGTAAATGTAAAAACATACCTAAACACACCTACTCGCTTCGTTCGTGCGACGAACACTGAGCGTGTTCCGTACTGAATTTACGTATATGAGTTGCGACTCGTACAAAATCTATGGAAAACGTGCGTTCGGAGCGGCTTTTTTTCCGTTCGGGATCCCGAAGGCACAGGCGGTCATACGGAATCTCGAATCGGAGAAATTCCGTAAGGAAAAATGACGTACGTGTGTGGTGGATCATAGATTTTATATGGACTTGCTGCGTTCGGAATCCCGAATCGGAATATCTAAACGGAATCCCGAAATGGAATTCCGTATAAGGCCCGCCACATACATATGGAATTCCGTTTCGGAATTTCGAACGGGTCGGCCACACACATACGGAATCCCGTTTTGCCCGCAAAATTTCGAACGGAAAACTACCGTACGTTTGTGACGGGTCATATATTTTATATGGACTTGCTGCGTCCGGAATTCCGAATCGGAATATCGAAACGGAATTCCGTTTCAGAATTCCTTTTAGATTTTTTTTTTAATTTTTTTTTGTTAATTTGAAATTTGAAATCCGAAACGGAATTCCGTATGTATATTGTCGGCCTAAATGTGGCCGGCCTAAATGTGTGTGAAAATCGAGCATCCCTAACCGTATAACCGTAGACTATAATTTTTTTTAATTAGCTACATAATCGTCATAATACATATTTATCAAGGAGTTTTGGCGGGATTTTGACCGGCGGCGGTTTGCTGCTCCTGTATTATTGTTTAAATAATGGTTTGAAGTGGACTTTGATATGTAAAAGTGTTGCGATTTTGTGTATTAAGTGTCTACGCATGTGAACTATTAGTGGAAACAGTGAAACAAGTGCTCTGATGGTGATGGATTCTCAAGATAAGCTGTTTGTTTGCATAGGCACCTTTAGATACCATCGCCAACTATCAGCTGTCTGCTGGATCAAGTTGCCGCCAAAATCTCCCAAGAACTGCACAATGTGACGCATCAACATATTGTGAAGCAGTATACTATGAAGGAGTGGGGAAATTACAATAAACCGAATAAAAATACTTAAGACTTGGCCTAAAGGTCTAGATACCAGGCCATAAACTCAAAAAAAAAAAACATATTTATCAATTTATCATTTATCTATGAATTTGTGATTGCAATTTTAGCATTTACCATTTACATTTAGTTTGTTGGTGGCGTTTGTTTTGATATTTATTTAGAAAAAGTTATTTTATATATATAGTTATTTATTACTTTTTATATCATTACCATGGCTATGTTCCGTTCTCCGAGAGAAGTCTGTTCTCGGAATCCTAGAGAAGATAAGTGTGAAAGAAAAGAGCAGAGAGGAGCGTATTGTTGTGACTTTTGCTACGATGGCTGGGACAGTGAAACTGAAGTTGATATACATCGCAATACTACTCATAGAAAAGAAATGCTGGATTTGTTAAAAGCCACGAACCAGCATGTTTGTAGGGTAAGAATACATTGTAACTAAAACTTACTATTCTCAGCATTTTGTATTTCAGTCTTCTTGTTTCCATCGTCATAATCACTATATCTCAGCCCATTATAATAAAATCGTGAATAATTCCATACTAATAAAAAAGCTTGAATGTTATGCATTCCACAGCTCCTTTTTTAAATGGGTGTTTTCTTACCTACACAACAGAAAGCTGAAGGTTGTAATAAATGGATTTCAATCTGAGGCATTTGTAGCATATTCAGGAGTGTCACAGGGCTCACACTTGGAGCCAACCCTATTCAACATTTTTATAAATGATGTAGTAAATTGTTTCCTGATGTACTTCTCTTCGCAGATGGTTTAAAATTTTATAAAAAAATAAAAACTGTTAATGATGAAAACTTACTGACTAGTCTCGTGGTGCGAGCTTAATAATGTAATACTTAATTGTGAAAAATATTACTAAATATCTTTTAATAAAAAAATCCTTCGGATTTGTAATGGATATATTATTAATGGGATTGTCCTAAAAAAGACAAATGTTATTCGTGATTTCAGTATTTTATTTTGATTAATTTAAAAATAAGTTTCACTGCGTATGTAGATCAAGTTATAAAACATTCATTGAAATTTTTAGGATTAATTAAACGGGTAATTACGTATCCCTAATCCTTAATTTAGCTAGGTGTACAGGTGTGCAGGTGTGACCGAATCGGAGACGGCAAACAGTTGAGGTAATCACTTTACTAAAGTGACGGGTTTTAAAGAACCAAGGTTTTAGGGGGATATTATTTTGGACATTAGCATAATTTTTACATTTTATAAGTTTTGACTGATGCCAAATGGTTTGCCATGAGGAGTGTAAACTTAAGTTAGCCTTCGACAGGAGGTCATATGAGTAAATATTGTGTTTGGGTAGTAATCCAGATTTAGCTGCTTCCTTAGCTATCCGATCAGCAACCTCGTTGCCCTGAATCCCACAGTGAGCAGGTATCTACGCCAAGACAATCCTTAGTCCCTTTTTATGACATTTGAATAGAGACTCTCTGATATTTAAAATTAATGGGTATTTTACTTTTAATTGAAATGGGCTGGAAGCAATACTTTGTAAGCAGCTAAGGGAATCTGATAATATGAGAGTTTTTTTCAGGCTGTGAGATTCAGCATACAAAACTGCCTCTAATATAGCCAATGACTCACCTGTGAATACAGAAGAGTCAGAAGGGGAATTAAAATTTAAAATAATTTTATATTTAGGTATCCACACTGCGGATCCTACTAAACCTTTTTCGCTGACCTTTGAGGCATCTGTGAACATAATCACCCAGTCAACCCACTTTTCAGCTAGAATCATGTTTAATTTAATATTTGGTTCAGTGCTGTCCTTATAAATGCCAATATTTAAAAATATGTCTGGCTTATATATTAGGGCCTCATAGGGAATGTTGTAGAGAGGGTTCCTAAGTGACTTGGAGATTGGAGAAGGAAGATTGACAAGTTTGGAATAGCTTTTTATAATGCATGGCAAATCCTTATGTGACCAATATTGGGATCGCTTGACTAACTGGTTAAGGGAATGTAGTTTGGATAGGAGAGGATGGTGCGAATAACAGGCAGCTTTAAATAAAAATCTGTCTGATAAATACTGTCTTCGGAGAAAAAGAGGAGGCTCGACACATTCCACTTGGAGAGCGAGGATAGGAGTAGATTTCATTGCTCCTGTTATGACTCTGAGACATTTTGACTGGATTTTGTCCAGTATGTTAAGTGCCATTTTACTACATGGCTCCAGTAAAAAACAACCATAGTCGAAATGGCTTCTTATTAATGCATTATATAAAAGCTTTTGGGAATAAGGATGGGAGCCCCACCAGGAGCCTGATAGAGATCGGATGACATTTAAATTTTTTTCACATTTAGCAGCTACATAGGATAAATGTGGGATACTTGTCATTTTACTGTCTAGAAATACTCCTAAAAATTTCACTTGAGTCAAAAGGTATAAGAGAGTCATCAATATGGATAGGCACATCTGGGGAAAACCTTCGTCTAGTAAATACTACTGAGTTACTCTTACTAGCTGAAATGGACAAACCATGTTCTATAAGACAAAAGTTGAGGAATTTAACTGCTTGGGATAGACGGGAGATTGCTTGGTCAAAGGAAATGTCGGATGCATATAAGACTAAGTCATCAGCATACTGTAGGACATTAGCTAAGTAGTTTACAGATCTATCAAGTTCATATGTATAAAGGCTGTATAACAAGGGGCTCAGAACTGAGCCTTGAGGTAATCCCTTCCAGACAGGTCTAGGTGATGTGAGCTTGCCTTCAGAGTGAACTAATATGCGCCTCTGCGAAAACAGGTTTGACACGAAATTTGTGATTCTCTCCGGGATGTTCAGCTGTTGCATTTTCTGCCTGAGCAGCGGAAGAATAACATCATCGTAGGCCGAACGAACATCCACAAAGACGCCTACAAGATACTCATTGTTGGAAAAAGCAAGTCTTATGTCTGATACTAAGATACTAAGGCTATCCATTGTGCTAAAACCTTTTCTAAAACCAAATTGAGTCCTTGACAGAATGCCCCTATTTTCTAATATCCACTCCAGTCAATTCTTTACGAGATGTTCCATGACTTTAGATAAGGTTGATGAGATAGCAATAGGGCGGTAATTTAATGCTGGAGAGGGGTCTTTTCCAGGCTTTAAAATGGGTATAACAATATGGGTTTTCCAGTCATCTGGGATAGGACCTGTCGTAAAAACCTGATTAATGATGTTAAGAAAGATCTGTTGACATGAAGAGCCCATATTAACCATAAATGAATAGGGAATACCGTCAATGCCAGGTGAGGAGTCCTTGAGGTGGCTGAGCACTAACTTTAATTCTTCCAAAGAGAATGGTTCATTAAGGTTATTTGGGATGCTGGGAGAGTGGGAGGGGAAACGTTTTGCAGTTGGAAATATCTCTTCCTCCATAGGAACCCATGGAGGAGCCAGTCTGCAACAGAAGTCGTTTAGCCATTCTGAAGGATCTGCACAGGAGGAATTATTGACATTTAAAGCTCCGCGAAAACGTCTGATATTTTTCCAAACTAAGGAAGAAGGAGATCGAGGGGATAGACTCTCACAAAATGAAAGCCATCCCTTTTTTTTCTTTTCCGAAAGAAGTTTTTTGGATTCAGCGGCAATTTTTTGGTAACTTAAGAAATTTTCCATTGACATATTTGAGGAATATAACCTTTCCGCTGCCTTGCGTTTTCTGATGATCGAGGAGCATTCAGAATCCCACCATGGAGGTGAAGATAGTTTCTTAGGGGATGTGTTTTTCAATGGAAAAATTTTGCAGGCTGAAGTATTTAATATTGCTATGAACTGATTATATACAGAATGTAGGTTTTGGGATGTAACAGTAGGAAAGTTCTGAATACTACATTCTGATTCTGTGGCAAATCCTTCACAGTTGGCATCCGACAAATTGAATTTTAAAAGAGGAGCTGTATTTCTGGGAGGAGTACATCTATTGGACAGGTTTAACAGGATGGGATAATGGTCACTTCCAAAACAAGAAGGTAGTGTTTGAAATGACATACTGGCAGCCAGGGATGGAGAGCATAATGATAGATCAACTACAGATCTAGGATTATGGGAGGGATAACACATTCTGGTAGGAGAACCATCATTTAGAAGACAAAGATTGAATTCATTAAAAACATCAAGCAGTAAGTATGAAAAAGAGTCCGATTTATGGGAGCCCCACATTACGTGATGGCTATTAAAGTCGCCAAGAATAATGTAGGGAGGGGAAATTCTAGATAGGATCAAGTTTATTTCAGCGATACATGAGGGAGTGGGGGATGATACATAAATTGAGACAATGGTTATATCCATAGCTTTAATGGCTACGGCATTAATGTTATCTTGTACTTGAGGAAGAAGGACAGGACTGGAAGGAATGGTCCTGTTTAGTAGTATCATAGTGCCACCATAACCATCATTCCGATCACTACGATAACAGGAGAAGCCTGGGATCAAGAACGTAGAGCCTGGCTTGAGCCAGGTTTCCGCAATTGCAAGGATTGAAGGATTGTAAGTGTTGATTAAGTAAATTAAGTCAGATTTCTTGTTCCTGATGCTCCGACAATTCCATTGAAGGAGGTTTAGGGATGGGAATTTTGTACAATTTTGAGAAAAGGGTGTCAAGTTTATTTTTCACGTTAAACGGTAGATATACATCATCAAATTTGCCGACAATATCTGAAAGGGATGCCACAAGGTTTTCTAAAAGGTTGTCATTAGGAGTAACATTGGACTGCAAAGCATGTCCATTGGGCAAGGAAGAGGTAGGAGTTCTTGTTATGTTGGAATGAGAAATTCTATCATAACCAACTGTAGATCTCATTGGAATGGTTTTGGCTTTTAGAATGGTTTTCCTGTAGGATTGGGGAGAAGGGCGAGAGGAGGGAGTGCTAGGAGCCTGGGTAGAGGAATTGTTACTCATGGAGACTTGAGAAGAAGCAACGTCCGCATATGGTCTTCTGACGGCTGGAAAGCGAGCAGAAGCCTCCAGATACGAGACATTCTCTTGTGACATTACTAACTTAATTGCTTTCTGGCGAGAATGTTCGGGGCAGCTTTTATCAGTTGCCATATGTTTGGCAGAGCAGTAAAGACAGGTTGGTGTGTCTGTAAGGCAGTTTTCCCCAGTGTGTTCCTTTGTGCATTTATAACAACAAGGTTTTGATCGGCATTGAGCCTTTACATGTCCAAAACGACAGCATTTCATACATTGAATGGTGGGAAGGAGGTAGGTTTCGACCGGGATTGATGAATAAAAACAGTATAAATGTGAAGGAAGCACTTGACCGGAGAAGGTGAGGACAATAGTTTGGGTTGGAACCCACTCCACTTCATCACCCTTTCTAACTTTTCTGTGGAGCCTTCTGGCTTTAATAATTTCCCCTCTCCCAGAGGGGAGCTCTGACTCTGCAACTAATTCCTCCATTG